TGCTAGAACAATGCCTCATTTGTAGACAATAGCCTCGATCAAAAGAGCTCACAAGCATACATAATGAAGCTCTTCAGTGGGATCATTGATTGGAGAGCGAACAAGCAAGATACAATAACGACCTTAATAACAGAAGCAGAACTGCTGTCCCTCGCCCAAGCTGCCAAAGACATAATATTCGTATACTGTCTACTCAAGGAGATCGGCGTCTTGATAGACTCCCCATCACTGCGCATATAGTGTGACAATCAGCAAATCATCAAGTTAGTGCGTAAAGATATCGCCACTCTTCAGACCAAGGTTAAGCACGTCGACATCCACAACCACTGGCTCAGAGAAGCTCACCAGAAGGAGAGAATAGACGTTTAGTACGTCCGAAGCGAGATGATGCTGGCAGACGGCCTCACCAAGGCCCTCGCAGCACCAAAGTTCAAGAGTTTAATGTCAGATACCAGCGCTCCATTTGGGCCATGCACTGACCATGTCACGTGGATGACAGCGCACTAGACTGCGACCAGCCACCAGGGCAAAACTAGTACTGAAAACTCGTACACAGATAGACAGTGCTCAAGCACAACATCATAATACAGTCATCAATTGACCCTCGTATTCAACAATTAAGAGTCTCATCGTCTCTCTAGCTCACTGGAGAATTTAATAGATACATGTCTGCTAGAGCAGACTACCAACCAGCCACCCACAGGGTTTAAGTCTCGTAGAAGCCGCGACTGGATAGAATTAAGTTAGAACAAAGCCAAAGCGCAAGTAAGAACAGCATCCAGCTTTCGCACTGCACAGCAGTATGGCTCCGTACTCAAGCTGCGGGGGTGTGTCAAATATAAGCACTGACTTGATGTTAGTGTCAATCTCTTTTGCCTAACGGCTGCATCTGACAATATTGTCGCTGTCATACAAACACCGTTGTCAAATCCCAATCTGCCACCCACTATTTTGACTTTAAAAATGTCTATCACTATTAACGAAGCGGTAAACCAGTCAGTCAATATCCTGAATCGAGTCAAAAACTACCAGGAAAGCTCACCTACATCAATAATTGATGCACTGAGCTCATTTTCAAAGGCTACATATAGTCTTATGCATAAGGTCGCTTTGATTAATTCCCGGGTCCGCAAACTAAAAGAAGGCAATCACTTATTAAATAAATGCCAGAAAACAAGAAACAAATATCTAATAAAAGGAGGAGTACTTTCTGTTAAAGATATAATAGGTCTTAAGGTTACAAAGGACAATACTAAACTGGTAAGACAGGAAATGAGTGAAGGTAGTTATCATCCAAGGAGGGCGGTAGTGCGTAAGCGACGTTATAGCGTTTACGGTAACACTGGCCATAATATGCGAACTTGTACAATAAAGATAGAAACGTCTGAAAAAGAGGAATCTGATTGATTAGATTGAATTCAATATGTTGTGATTAAGTTACCATCCGACCCCCCGAACCGGCACACCCCCACTACCGGCACAGCTAAACCCCGCCACCACCACCAAAAGACCCCCCTACTCACTTACACGCATTTGAGGCTGTATAGGGTCGAAAAAATCAGCAAAATTATCATTCTGTGGTGTTTTGGCTGCTCAATCGACGTATCTAGCCGGCGCCCAGATTGACTGCCCAGATCTAGTCATCTTGGCTTCTGCAACAGGGGCTTCTACAGCCTCCTCAGCGTCCGCAACCTCCTCGTCCTCCTCCACCCCGTCTTCAACAACCTCCGACTCTGAAGAAGAAGAAGAAGACTCTACAGCAACCGGAACTAACGGATTACCACCCTGGGCTAGTATTTCTACCATTATCATGAACTTTTTGTTGGGATTTAGTATCTTCTTCCTCTTCTTGGGCCGTAGCCGCTCCAGTTCAGCCTCCAGGGCCCTGATCTTCTGGTCTTTTATGGCCAGTTCCGTCTCCTGGTTCTCAAAGGCATAAGAGATCTTCCGGAACTTCAGCCGAGTGGCTGGGGATCGGTTCTTCCTGAAATCCCGGATTTGCCGCCTCGTGGTAGGGGTCTGTTGGTCCTCCGGCTCCGAGTCTTCCTGTTCTTCCGGCTCGGGGGTCTTCCGCTTGTCTTCTTAGATTTCTGGATGGTCTAGACACTTTTTGCGGCTAATTGGGTAGCACCTCGTTACTCGGAAGCCCGAGCGGATGTTTTTTGGCGTAAACGCCATGTCCCTTGCCTTGCTATAACAGCGGATAAAGTTGATCTTGTTAACAGGAAAGGAATCAGTCAGAGAATTTAACTGGGTGAGGAATCTCTGGTAGTAGGACTTGAGGGCGTTATAGGGGCCGTTATCCAGTGGTTGCATTCCATGGCTGGTATGTGCTGGGAAAAAGCATAGCAAGATGTTGGCAAAATAACACCGCATCATAAATTCGTCCTTTCTACAGTCAGTTGCTGTTTAAATCGGAATAAATTAAATAACCAGTAAATAAAATAGAAAAAATTGGTGTACGTACGGAGGTATGGCTACCATGGCCATCTAGGATCAAAAGGACTGGTTCCCACTGCTCCTGGCCACAAATTTCATCTACTTGTGGTATGAAAACGTGCTCAAGCCACTGGCAGGCGATATCGTTACTGGTCCAGCCGTTTTCCGACGTTATATAGTACCAGTCGGCTATCTTCTGGAATTCCTCGAGGAACCACTGCGCTTGAAGATCTTTTCCCTTGAAAATCAAGCCTGGTTTGAGTACTCTACCGGTAGCTGAAATGGTCTCGATGAAAGATGTCCACGAGCGGCCCTGGGGGCTCTTTAGGAAAGCTTTCCTCATCTCAGAACTTCCTAGAACTAGGGAATCGATGCCTATAAAGGTAGTTAGTTAACTGTGAGGGTAGGGGGCTCGAAAGAGTTACCAAAACCCGACATGATGCCGCCCTTATCGACATTATACGTATTTTCTGGCTTCACCCAGCCGTAGTCCTCCAAGATGTTGAAGAACCAGTTCACAGACTTAGGGGTAAACCCCTTAAACCGAGCGGATTCCATTCGCTTGCCGATTTTAGTCTGAATGGTAGGGTTGCGTCGTTTAAAGCTGTCCATATAGTGGTTCCCAAGTGGTGCGAAATCCCCCTTTCTTTTTAGGAGTTCTACCACAATTTCCCTGACGGCTGAGTGAGAAGGGGCAAGCCCCAAAGTCTCCTGGCGCAATATCCAGGCTGCTACCTTGCTTTCTTGCTCGGGAGAAATTCTCTGCTCGGTGGTGTGAGCCTCCGTTTTAGTCCCTCTCCCCCTTATGCGTGCTGACAGCGTGCTGGCCGGGACGCCGTATTTTTGGCTGGATTTTCTCACGGACATGCTATTATCTGTGACATCTAGGTAGGCATCCACCACATCATCCTCTGTATACGTGGGCGGAGGCATCGTGGCTGGCTTCAGGATGCTGTGGTGCATGAGGGACAGGGGCTCACAAAGAGAATTCTACAGCAAATTTGCATTTAAGGGCGGGGCACGGAGGCTGCTAAATGCCGATACCGATGGCCCAGCAATTAAATAATCTATATTCCGCTAAACACCAAGAAAAGGGCTATCTAACCATCTAAAGAAAGTCTAGATACCCTCAAAAAGGGCTGTAATCCGTGTAAGTGAGTAAGGGGACTTTTGGTGGTGATTGTGGGGTTTGGCTGTGCCGGTTGGGGGGGTGTGCCGGTTCGGGGGGTCGGATGGTATTTGACATGGCAATTGGGAGGTTGGTAAAAGTGTCTCGCTTGCATGTGTGTCCTGCTCACTTGTGACCTACGTTACTTAATATATATTAATTAAAATGTATTTTTATTAATCTAGCTTTAAACTGGTTGTTTATCTACCTTAGTATTTTACGTAGTGAAACATAGCTACATATTTATTAAATACTTAGTAATTGATTATGAAGTAAAAAGATATATATGTATATTTTGTTATTTCTTTACTTTTTAATAGTAGGTTATATCAGGTCTTTACAACAGTAGTACTTGCCAGTGCACCTAACATACACCCATCTCAAAGTATTTCTGTCTATCTGGTCAGTGAGTACTCACCCATATTTTGGTCAGTGGTGCAGCGCTGCTAGCTGTCTTACAGCATACAGTGTGGAAGTTACAGGGCATTTAGGGCACTTGAGATCGCTGCAGCTGGGCTCCTTTGGGCTTAGTGACAGGCGCTCTGACCCTATTACCCCTTTGGGAATTCAAGTGGTCGGTTGATCTGTAGTCTAGGCATAGCCGCTGTGCTCAGCCCTTACTCAGCCCACTAGGAGGTACCTCCGTACCTAACACCTATACATCCTCATTCCCAGCACAGTGCAACACAGTTCGCCTCTCGCATGGCGCCCAACGTGAACGAGTTCTATCACAAGCGTTTTCTAAAACAACCCGGAGTCAAGAAACATGACCCAGTAGCTTTCCGGGCATTTGGTGGCGGGGCCACACTCTGTCCCGGTCGTCACTTTGCCTCAACCGAGATTCTGGCACTGCCAGCGCTGTCATACTGCGCTTCGATATGAAACCAATGACGGCTTCCTGGACAACTGGCGGCTACGCGGAATCGAACGCTGCTTTCCGCCTCCCAAAACACGATCTTGGTGTCACCCTTGTCCCGAGAGATACGAAAAGGTGGTATGTCTATTTCTCTGAACCTGGCAAAGCTATTGATGCCGCGGAGTGACATATGACGGCTATGGTTGACACGCAAGGTGACCACTCACTTGTGAGCCACGATGCACCTAACAGTAGCTCACAAAACATCAGTCTAGGTTGGATCGGGGCTATGAATCTGGAAGATGACTTCAGCAAGGTTCGGGCCCACGGAATGCATGACGGCTGCGGTGATGCGGGGTGTGTTATCGTAGAAGGGGATTGTACATTTCCTTCGGTCGACTAGTAGGCATGGCAGCAAAGCCCACGGTCAGCATACTCCCGAATATGCTGGCACTCGTTAATGACCCAAGCTCAACCTCGCTAAGCACTACCATCACTCAGGCCCAACATAAGGAAATCACAAGCGAGAAGTAACTCTCATATCTTAGCCAACGGCGTCTCATTCTTTGCCATATCCCTCAGTATCTTCCTCAAGATCTTGCCCGACGGGCTCTTTGGGATCGCCTCCAGGAACACTACACCTCCTCTTAACTGCTTGTAATGCGAGAGGCCCTGCTTCTTGAACCAATCCATTATCTCCTGTCCGGTGATCTGCTTCTGGTCTGCAACGACGTAGGCGCTATGCGGCATTAGTTAGCCGGCGGATTGGTAATGTAGAACCAGAGTGGGATGGGTATCTGGGCTTACCGAGGTACTTCGGTCCCATCGCCAGGGACGCCGATGACCGCCGCATCGAGGATTTTCGGGTGTGAGAGCAGCATGGCTTCGAGCTCTGCAGGGGCAACCTGGTTGCCTTTGTACTTGATGAGTTCCTGTCGTCGGTCAGTCTCTGCGTGTGTTCAGACAACACCACTATTGGCTGCTGTTTGTACCTTCTTCCTATCCACGATGAAGAAAAAGCCGTCTTTGAAGACGGCAATGTCGCCAGTGCAGAACCAACCGTCCTTGAACGACTCCTTGTTCGCCTTGTCGTTCCTCCAGTACCCGTTTGTGACTACCGGGCCTTTCGCCCACACTTCGCCAGGCTGGCCCGGATCGACATCTTTGTCGTTGTCGTCGATGAGCCGGGCGTAGCAGTTCGCTATCAGGGCACCTACTGAGCCTGGCGGGGCCGACTGGGCCGGGTCGATTGGACTGATTGTGAAAGTACCACACTGCAGTCACCGATATTAGCACTTCCGTCTCCTTCTCTGAAGCGACTTGCGGAGCTGCGAAGCCAGGATTCAAAGACCCACGACTTGCGAGCCGAAGGACTTCGCTGGTAACTTTGACCGATGTTGAAAGCCTGCTCTCACAAGGATCTAGGAATACATACCGTTTCGCTCAATCCCCAGGTCTGCCGCAATTTCGTAGCGCCCTTCCCAAGTTTCTTAGCCACCTCTACCTCGAGGTCAGGTCCCATCGGCGCCGCTCCCGCAATTGCCTCCTGCCACGTGTCAAAGTGGTCTTTGACCAACGACGACTTGGCTATCAGAAGGTAGATGGGCGGCACCGTGAACATGGTGGTCGCCTGGTACTTCTTGGCGTACTCACAGAACTTGGGGAAATCGAAGCGCGACATCCAGTAGCAGCAGCCGCCGACATAGCAGTTGTTGACAAGGTAAACTTGCACGCCGGCGACGTGAGCGGTCGGTAGGTGCGCTATCATTCGATATTCATAACCCAGAGGTTTAGTCGCCTTGTTGTATTCCCTAGTCGGCTCCTGGGCCAGCGCGCAATGCGCAACGCTGTTCCGGTGGGATATCGGCATGGCTTTCGGCAGGCCTGTCGTGCCGCTGGAGAATAAGAGGCAGATGACGCTGTTGTCGAGCTCGACGGGGTCAGTGATCCGTCTCCATTGAAGCTCCTGATTCGAGATAGGCACCCGGGCTCCCGAGGCGGCTTCCTTGAACTCGAGGTCCTTCGTTCCACCGAATAGAAGCATGTTTCGCTCTGAGAGGCCAGCCTTCTTCGCTGCTGCCAACACGACGTCCTTCGTGTCCGGGGTGCAGACCACAACGGTCGCGCTCGTCTGTCGCAGCTGATATGCAAGCTCACCCGGGGTGGCCGACGGGTTGGTGGATGAGAAGATGCCCCCCGCCATGATGGCGCCGTAGAAGATGAGTGGGGTCATGAAGTGGCCCGTCGAGATCATGAAGACCACGTCCTTGTTTTCCCCCTGGGCGCCGATACCATACTGATGTCTAAAGACATGGGCCGCCCTTTGGGACAGCTGGCGTAGTCTCCCCTTGGTGAGATTGTGACTGGGCTCCGCCGCATCGGCGTGGATGACCTTGTCTTCCGGGACGCGACAGGTTTCCGACTCTGTTGTAAAGTCAGTCTTGTTGGCCATACATGCAGGTTGACGACATTCGGCTATTGTCGCACTCACCGAACAGCAGAGTCATCAAGTCGATGTCGGGAACATGACGCACTTCGGCCGGATTGTAGATGATGCCATCAGGAGTGCGCTCAACCGTAGTCGCCATCTTGAGCGCTCTCAATACTACGTGCAGGAGTTCCGCACCAGGACTTGCACGCAGGCCTCAGTGAACAAGAGCTCAAGGGTTTCTCACGATTCAAATACCGTCCATAGACAGGGTGCCTTCGAAAACGGAGTCCCCATTCAACCATAAGAAGCTTGGTGAAGATATCCTCGTTTTCGATGAAGACGAATCACGGCCTCAACCATGCTGGATCACACTGCAAATTTGCACTGCCACATTTCATCTCTGTTCCTTTCCCCTGCGCCAACACGCCTCGGTTCCCCGCATTGCGACAGGGTATACAATCCGCCTCGGCGTCTTCTCCAGACGCCGCATACCGACCAACGCCGAGGATTCTTTGCGGAGGTTCCAGATCTGCAATGGCTGGAAGGCACATGGAGTCAGGAGTACCAGTCGAGGCGGGGGTCAAAAGACATGCTGCTTTCACAGATCGGCTGGAGGTTGGAATAGCTTCTTATGGCATCAGGCGAATGAAGCCCGGTGGTTTAGTGATGACCGGGAGTGCTAAAGGTGCCCAACCGTTACCCCCGGTATAGCCCGGTATATCCCTTTATCTCCGCTGCTCAACACCGACCCATATCTGTCTGGGGAACAAGATGTCTGAAAGAGCATGCGCCTCCACGTTACTGCTCATTACCTTACAGCACTAGTTCAAGGGACCCTAAATTGCTACACTCCGATAATATGGTCGTGGAGAATACCAAAGCCTCCAACTTGTTGCCCGAGTGTCACCCCAACACTCTCCCGCTTCCAACAAGTGACCCGCTTTGGCCGAGCGCTACTTGAGAACAGAACTCCGGCTGCTATCATTCAGTCAAAGTTTAGTCTCACGGCCGCTCTTCCAAAAGAAGTTGCGCTCCAATCCCAGCCTAGACACTTACCTACATACACCTAGAATGACGCCCGGAAGCCAGATGTCTCGGACTTCTAAGTCTCTCGGTCGGCTGATGGGGGTGCAACACGCACCGTCTTAGAGCTACGGACGAATCCTCGGCACAAGGACCTCTTGCGAGTCCTGAAGGCGGTAAGAAGTCCAGGCAACGGGTAAGCGAACCCTGTGAAATGGGAATCATATTATCGACTGCAGGGACTCCAAGTCGAGGAATGCGTTGCGGGCGATGAGACGCGTACTTGTTCCAATACACTGGACTCTAGATGTACACTTGCATCTTGACCCATGAAGGCATATTATCATTCTTTCTTCAGCCGTCCGCGTAGGTTCTTCTTCAAGCGAGGATGATTTCATTTTCACGTAAACTCACTTTCGGTGGCCAGGGTAAACCTAGCTACAGGGCTGAACCTCCAAAAGTCTCCGTGCATCCACCGTTCAGCGAGCGAGGGATATTTCCATTATAATGGGATAAGCACTCTGGAGTAAGCACCAAAGATGGTTTTTTGAATTGATGATGCTTATTCCAGGGTGCTTATACAATTAATATGAGCATAACACTGCCATATTCGACTTCAAAGAGGGGTGCCGGACGGAGACTTATGGTGGATGGTTGTAAATGTGCGCTCGAGGGATAGCTGGTGGCCCGTGGAACGTCTGGATGAGTTCCACGTCCCTCTTCTCGGTCAATAGAGTTTGTAGGACTCGCCTACATAGTCGCGTCATTCCAGAAATCCGTATACGTTTCAACACCCAGCTCCGTGGTCACTGCTCTTCATTCTGCGCGTATATGAAGTTCGCAGCTATCGCAACATCAGCCAAGATCATTAGTCGGCAGTAAAGAAATCAGACTTACCAACAGGCTCAAGCCCATTATCCAGAGCCCAGTCTCTCACGCCATTTCCCTCCTTCCCCGTACCCCAATGTTTCCTGTCCGCAGGCTTGGTCAAATTCAGCGAGTCCGAGGTGCCATTGGCCGGCGCGAAAACTAAAAAGACGTATCGGTGTTTCCCGGTCTTCGGTGGTGGTCCTGGTGCCTTGTACGGCATGATCTCCTTCAGACCAGAGAGGGTGACTGACTCTGACGAGGAGTCGCTGATATTGGTGGATACACTGACACCTGTGGCGATGAAGTGGCAGATCTCAGACCATTTGGGGTCATCCCGCGACGGTGCGTCGGGGTCGGTGATGGTGATTGTGTAGGTCACGTCGTCGGCCAGGGCACTGGAGCCAGAAATAGGATGTATTTTGATGCTAGGTTCATCTTGGGCGGCGTCCACTTTCAATGTGTTGCCGAGGTCTGCGTAGTTATCTGAGGACCACTTCGCATCAAGAACAAAGGAGGGTAGGAACTCGTTGATGACTTGATTTGCGTCAGTCAACCCGACTGTCTAGTTGGAAACATGTTGGGTCAGAAACTGACCTGTAGGTATGATTTCCGCCTTCTTCAATCTGCTCCAGTCAGCCTGCATACGAGATATAGATGGTTGATCAGATCACGTACTCATGTTGAACCTTGTACGCCTCGGAGCCTGGCACTTGCACGGCGATAGGCTTCTGTTCTGCCGGCAGTGCTGCCAACACCGGCACGGCAGACGCCGGTATCGCGAAACGCGTCAGATAACTAGCCATTGGGATCATTTGACTTGTTGCGGTCTTGAGAATGTACTGGCCATCGAAAAGGAGGGATATTAACAGGGCAGAAGGTAGTTGTTATTGTTGTTGTTGTTGCTGCTGGGGTCAACACGCTGCTGGCCCCGCACCACTGTGATGTCATTCGAACGTTTTCCTGGGGAAACCTTCGCGGTCATGAGGTAGCACCACACCAAGGGGGATGATGTCGCACGATTATTGCCATAAAGACAAGTATCTGTCAGATCAGCTCAGCGGTTCATCTCACATGGATGTCTCTGGAGTGAGTAATGATCAACCACAGCTCAGATTATCGCGGCAATGAAGCCATTCGTGGGACTGACAACGCGCAGGTAGCGCCTCCAGTATTTGATAGAGGCGATCGGCAGCGGGCAACGATAGGACCACTGCTAGCTGGCCGTGTTGTGCGGCGGCGAGGCGTACGGCATCGACGCGTTGTTCTCGGTCGGATTCAACGATGACAAGAATATCGCGCAGCGGCTGTCCGACAAGACGGGGACGGGGTTCGTGAACCAGCGTGATGCGAGAGCGTGAAAGTCGCCCAGGCTCACCTGCAGGTCTACCGCGAGCCCCGCAGCTGTGTTCTGCTCGAATTGAAGTCATGCTCTACGCGTATGTCACCGGCATGCAATGGACGGATCGAGGGTTGCCGACTTGAGACGGGCGGAAGCTCGTGCTTTGCTAGAACTGCGTTGAGAAGCAATACCATCGGTAACGGGATGAGGGGATGAAAGGCAGGGGACATCTTGGCCGCACGTGGTTGGTATCGTGAGATCTGTGACATGGTTTTTTTCAACATTACACAACCATAGAAAGCTCTATGCCATCTCGTGTACGACGACTTGCCACATGAGGAACACACTTCGCCCTTCAACTCGATTTGATTCATTGGGTACTATCTCCCTTACTCTGCGATATTGTAGAGTACAGTCACCTCTCATAAGTCTCCGTCCCTCATGCTTCTGTCAACACTTGAACGTTGATGCTAGATTCGTATTAATGGAATAAGCAGCCTGGAATAAGCACGTTTGATCTAATTAGCCACATTTGATGCTTATTCCATTTATATCAAGTACATGTTCGTTTGGTGAACTAATGGTGTACGGAGACTCCTGGAGGTTCAGTATACGAAGAAAAACCCGCTAACCACTTTGTCATTGCGCTCTTGTCGGCGACGACATCGTCGATGCTGACGGCTAAACACCCCATATATGACTCCGTCAGAGGCGGGTTGAGGGAAGGAGGCCATGCTGCGGCCTGTGGCAGAACATCTCCGCAACGTTGCAATTTATATCTCCGAATAACTGATTTGAGGAAGTGCTCATTCTCGTCAGCGAATCGACGAATGCAGGTATAGATGGTTCAGGATCGCGCCAGCGCGAGGGCCACTGAGACTCCTCATTCGAGCATGACCACGCTTCCGCACGTCAGTGACTTGCTGCTAGGTCTCGTACAGGCTGTGCATCGGCGTGAGGAATCCATTCTGAAACCATCCACGGCTGGAGTTGTCAACATCGTGAATGTATACCCACCACTCGAATCTTCTGATTAGAGTTGCTAGCGACTGGGTGAATGCACAGTATTGTTCACCGCGTGCTGACGTCCTCGTGGCGATGGTTCCGTCAGAGGCAGTTCCGCAGGTCCTCTGACCATCGTCGTAGCTTGCCACCTTCGAGTAGATTGGACGTTGGCATGAGATTACAATGGCAAAGGGCTTTCACCTCTAAGCTTCGTCTCGTTTGCCGGTGGGCAAGCCGACTTGGGTTGCAAGCATACCTCCGGGGGTAATCATCCTCATGCTGCGAAGTTATGAGCAATGATGTCAGTGAGAGCTTCATGTACGAAAGATAACAGTAGGCTAACAGGCCACGCATTGGCTGAATTGGGATCGAGCCCGTTCGGACACTAGGCTGCGACTACTATGGCTCAGATATGCCTTTACGTCGTCATTGTTGGGAACACACCGATCCTTCACGTCCAAAGGGTTACAGCAGAATGCTGAAACGCACAGTTGGAGGTAGGTCAGGTTGTGAAGTGACACCAACTCGGAAGTATCTGATGTATACATCACCGCCATAGTATGTGTGTCGCAGCAGGTCAGGGCGTATGTAATAACGAGATTCGACTTACGTTGTATTCAGGTATCAGAAGAGCCGTTCATGGTGACGGGCGCTGTGCCACGGATTCTGCCGGTGGTGCTCTCCATCTTTGCAGTTCGCGAGCCGAATTGAATCTGCGAGTTGTCAGTGGACTGCAGAACACTGGACGAGGATGCGACTTACCGCCTTCTTCTTCTGGCGTGCAGCTATTGGTAGGCTAAGCTGATCAGCCATAAGTCTGAGTATCCGCTTCGCAGGGTCGATGACAGCAGGGTGAAACTGATTCTGAAAATCGCATTTCTCCCATACTGGACTGCCGATGGCAAATCTGACGAACTCTTCATCTAGATACGGGAAGCGTACTTCCTTGCCCCAATGAGCCATGATCCGATCATCGCGACCAAGGTTCCTCTGCCCGATGCGACTGACATCCAGCTTCAGTTCGTCGATTAAGCTGGGGTAGCCTCCTCTCTTGAATGCCGCCTCGTGCCTTGAATAACCGCCGAAAAGTTCATCTGCACCGAGACCAGAGAGAAGAACGCGTGCAGGAGTAGTGACGACTGGTGGTGATGGTTGCCAATCGGGATTCTCAGTGTAGCCGTCCCCCATGCCTCTTGCTGCAAAGTACAACGCGAAGGCGATGGACAGGTCCATCTCAGTGTCATGAGGGTGGATAAGGGACATGACTTTTGTCTTGTGCGCCATGGCATCTTGAAATGGGACATTGACCTGTTCACACACGTTAGATGAGTGCACGTCCTGGTCGCGAAGAACATTGAGGGCATACCGCAATGAATCGCCAGTATCGACCTAGACAGGTAGCCTTAAGCTCCGCGAACGCTTTTCGCCCAGTAGCTCTATCAGGGCAACCCTCATATATGTCTGCGGCGCGGAGATGCGGCTGTCGCTTCTCTAACGAAACCTGCCGTGGGTTCTCGAAGGCAACGTTGATGAGGTCAATGCCTTGGTTTGGGGGTAGTAAGTCGTGAGCAAGTCTCGCAAGAATGGTGCAATCTATACCACCAGAAAAGAGAACAGCGATTCTTATGTCGACGTCGGAAGCTGGGTTAGGCGGCTCTGGGACGTTCAACACCCGCAACCTAAGCGATTCAACCAGCCAGTGCTTAAGGATACCCAGTGAAGCCGAGTCAAAGTCCAATCTGTGATTTTGCGGCGGTAATGACATGTTGAATTCGCCGATACTCGAGACCTGCGAAAATCAGTTGAAAGCTGACACTTGAATTGGGTGTAGTGTCTCAGAGCCAACCTACCATTTCGGCTCTGCCAGATGGCAGCCAGTCATATTTGGCGATACGGCTTTCCGAGCAGAGCCCATCCGACGAGTCTTCGGGATCTCCCAAATGTAGAGCATAGATGCCGACGGCCTCGACTTCTTCCCAGCCAGCAGTCGGCACGTCCGCGATGCTTGATAGTGAGATCGAGTCTCCGTCTGACGAGCGCTTCAGCAGGAGTGACCGCCTGCCAAGGCGATCTCGGCCGTAATACAGCCGGCTACTCGTAGAGTCGAAGTAGATGAATGCGAATGGCCCCTCGATGCTTCGCAAGATCTCAAGGACATGGGTCTCTCGGACTTCAGGCGAAGAGGCCTGAGAAGCCTGAAGTTTGGAAATGATCGTTTCGCCGTCATTGCCATCGATAGACTCGCCATTGAACCTCCAAGCTTCGCCATTCCAGCAGAGGACCGACGACTCATCCGGGGAGCTCTCCAGGGGCTGCTTTGCAATATGGTCTCCTCGCAGTGCCAGGACAGTGGAGGTGAAGAGGAGGTGAATCGGGAGGGTTGCCTTATCGCTGGGGATCTCGCGGTGGATTTGACCAAAATGATCAGGACCGCGGTTTGCAAGCGACTGTCTCAAGTGTGGAGGGAGGCTCGCAGGAATGGTCGTGGTGATGGCTGCGTGGATGCCACACATTGTGTGTGGGTGGTGTGCAGCGAGGCCAAGAGAACCTTCTTGGACACTGTGAAAATCGAAATCTGCGAGAAGCATACGGTACAAACAAACGCCGCATTCAGGAATATGTACATATGCCTAGAGATTAATAAGCAGCTGAGATGGAGCGTGCGCTCTGGCTGTCACGTGAACGGTTTCCGGCAACCCCGGTTCACCGGCGCCCCGGACTTGCACGGAGGATTGCATCCCCTTGGAAATTCCTGTCCAACTCCCACAACGCAGTGTCGACTTGCCAGCTCATATCAGGGACGATGCAAGAACCACAGCAGAATGGAAGGAGGCACAGGAAAAAAATTTAATGCATACCATTTCCCCCAAACCCTTCATCTGATACAGCGACTACATCATGTAGCACAGCAAAAATGTGAGATAGCATCTCTCAGTTTCGATCTGAGGACCTCCGGGTTATGAGCCCGGCTTCTGTTGTGTTAGTGGATAATCTTGTATGCGAAGAGAGACATTGAATGCTTACCGCGCTTCCGCTGCGCCAAGATGCTGTATCAGCTGATGGGAAAAAAGTTTGCTACGATGCTCCATATACACACGTCACATCTGGGCGGTTAGGGCTGTGGAGATACCCCTCAGCATCCACCGGCATGACAGGGCACCGGGGCGGGAAATCCCGCGTTCTAATAATAGAACTCCCTCTACATGTAGGTTCAGCCACCAAAGCCGTCATAAACAAGCAAAGTCTATCATCAGAGTGACTGTTTGTCTTCTAGCAGATCTGCTCGGCTTGTGAATCTCTAGCGTCGGAAATGACGTGCTCTTTCCTATGCGTCTCCATGACTTGCAGCACTCTTCCATAAAGGCCCCTTCTTGAAGACCCCGACCGTAGACCGCAATGGATGGGTTAGTAATACCACGTCTACGTTAAAGAAACAGGTCCCATGTGTGCACATGGGATGTTTGAACTTGGTGCATCCATTTCACACTCGTTACCTTTGTCCGTTGGTCGACTGCCTACCAAATGAGGAGGGCCATCCAAGGATTTGGATCTGTAACGGTGTGACGGCGCAACATCTGATGTGACTAGCCGGGCTACAACATTGGTGACTGTTGCACCGCAAACCGTTACTCATTTCTGAAGTGGTGCATCTCCGTCAGCCACAGCTCTCAAAGCGTGACGCCACAGCTTTGAGGCTGGAGCTGTAGATTCCAGAACCGTACTCAACCTCCAATCTGACAATCTGGTCTGCCAGGACCAGCGCGTCAATCTTCCGCGTGGGTGCCGTATAGTACATATGAGTTTGGTTGGATGCATATTCTCAAGGTTCCTCTTGCACTGATATTGCTAGAGCCACTTCCACTTGTGTGTCACTAATCAAGCACTGGCTGAAGCCATGTGAATCTGTGATCGCCATGAGGCGCCAATGAGTGACATCGCCTCCCTTCATCGCCACACTGGGCCACGCGCGCTACTAGAGGAACAGAGAAACTCTCATGGGTTTCATTCGGGGCGATGGGATCCAAAGCGAAAGCGTGAATCAGGTTTTTTGATCCTCAATCTGATTCTGATCTCAGTTTGTGGCTAAACCCGTGAGTAGCCTAGGTGAGAGCGCGACTCATCCATTCATAAGAACATTGGTTGGTCCAACCTCGAGATCTCAGTCTCAATTTCATATTCCATGATAAGATTACATCATGGCTTTCAGCTCACAAGAAGATCCACTATGTGGTTGTTGTCCGGTTGTTGTGTGGTCATCCTCAGTCGCACCGAAGCTGGCCACCTCAGTCTGCGTCTTACCCATTGTCGGTCTTTTCGATACCAGACATGGAACTCGGCTAGTCACGTGTGGGTATCGATTTGATCCGCTGGGGGTGACTGAATCTGTTCCTGTTCCGTATCGCTGTCTAGATTTAGCAATGTTCTGGCCGCACGCACTGTTCGGTGGAGGGAATGAAGGACCAACATACATCTTGGGAAGACAAACCGGGCACGATGATTTAAAGGGATGACAATTGGTTTGGGATCAGACTCAGAGGCAAGCAGTACGTCGACCAATGCAAGCGGGGAGAAACCTACCTACGCCTACGATCAACCATTGCAAGTCTCCATCACTGCACTCTGATGCAATCCAAACTACAGGCATATATTGTCTCGAATAAGCGCCCTACCATGAGAACCTACATTTCATTCATCATTGTATATGCTTGTGCCAGGATGCTTCAATGTTTTTCACAATTCCAGGTACTTGCTTAAGGGGTGTCTGGCCACTTCTGGGGGTTCAGTGTATGCCTTCACGATACCCGTGACACAGAAGGTATCGGAGACGCGAGTCTCAACGCTGGTACTTGGTAGTGTACTCCCCAGCCGAAGATTTTATTTCACTGTCTGATTGCGGCTGTCATCTCATGAAACTGATATCTTGCTGCCTGCACGGTGGGAGAGCAGTGACGCATCCATCGGGCTGTTGCCGTTGGTGGCATCTCAATCAAACTATAACTTATATTTCGTCCTGATGTATGCGGTTCTTCGGATTGCCATAGCAAGCATTATACGTGCAGTACGGCTGGGATGACCAGCAGACCAGCACTTCAAATGTGCTTGTTGATAGTCTCATGTACAAATTTTAACCTAGAATGTTGCCTTACCATGCCGATAGTAGTTCCTCCTCCCTGGACCCCTTGGCATCCTTAGAGGCTCTCCCGTCGTCAGATGCAGTGCGAACACAGGTCTTCTTCAAACCTCATAGATGCCTGGTGTCTGAAAATTGTGCACCAGGTGCCCAATGCTTTTTTCTGCGGAGATCATTATTATTTGCATATAAATACCTGACCCATCTCAACCATCAAGTGCAGCTGCTGCAACCTTTACCTCTCCCTCCTGCACCACCCCAACCAGTAAGTGCAATCCAAATGTTTCCTCCACCTCCTCCTCGCCACATGCAACTGTGCAGCAGGCTCGCAATGGAAGAGCAGTGATCTGGTAACCATTCCAGTCAGTTGCACCCAAGGTAATTGGACTGCCTTTGCGACGCGTTTCTGCAGATTCCTCTGTTGACCACTCGCCCGCCTACCTCACCTTTCTCTCCCGCCTACACAGAGCCCTCATAAGTCTCCGTACACAACCCTTCCAGCAAACCACGGTAAAAACATGAAATCGACATAAGCACACCGGAATAAGCAGTTAGATCTTTATTAGCCATCCCTAACGCTTATTCCAGGGTGTTATTCGAATATTTCCAACGATCCGACTGACACCCACACCCAGGCAACAACCCGAATCTCTTTCCGACCTTCGCCATGGCGGCGACTTAGGAGGACGAGGCTGCGCGACAGCCGCCGATCCTCACTCTACCGCCCGAGATGCACCAGTCAATCATGGAGTACCTCCGCGACGTCGCGACACTGATGCGTTACACTCATTCCTGCCGCGACATGCGATCTGCTTTCCAGACGGCACCTTCGTCCGTCTCCAGAGCTGTTATCACCAATGATCTTGGTGTCTACCTTCCGACTGCGGTCGCACGCCTTGAAGCAACTACCATGCCCTGGACACTACAGAAACCACCTCGATTCCCCGACAACCTCACCAAGTACCAGGAGCATGTGGCTCAGTTCTGCGACGAGCACCTGGCCGACCAGCAAACCAAGATCGCTATTCCCACTAGCCACTTCTCTCTGGAGTTTGTGACCGAACTGTCCAACTTTCATTCATGCGTCCTAGGCTTTGCTCCATCCATCGTCAAGGGAATCGACAACGAGAAGGAACTGTACGCACCACTCTATGTAACTGCAATGGGCAGTCAGGAGTTCGGCCGAGTGGTCAAGACCTTATACTTCTACGAGCTTGTCGGCATCCTTCTTCCATTGGATCTTGTCACCCCCAACGAGCGATGGAACATGCGATTCGATATCGACTGGACATCGTTCTGGAAGAAGTTTGCCCCTTGGGAGCTCTTTCAATACGAGCATGTGCTCAAGCACATAAACTACCAATTAGATGATCGTATGTCCATGTACTATTCGTTCCGCAATCAACATTCTACTGACGCTCAAAAAAGTTGTCCAAAGTTGGACAAAACATCCAGACGATCATTCTCAACTGATAGAGCCCACTTATCTCGACGCCTTGTTAGCCATCGTTGATACTGATGACTGGTATACAGCGGAAGGAGCTACCATACTTGCTGTGGCTCTTCACGCAGGGCTGAAGACAATGGAATGTCCGAACGAGATCATCCACTTGCTGCTCGACATATGGATACATGATCGATGGGAAGTAATGCACCGGGATCTTTATGTGGTTCAAAGCAGCCACCATATCTGGCTTCACCCACTTGAGCCCACGAACCTTCCACCCACTACTCACTCTCTCGACATCGACCATCTCATAGAGAAATACGGCGGTTCAGACCTGGAGCAACTCGAAGTCTGGTTCTACGACCTCGTCTATGAGGGACTTGCTAGCTTGGACCCGGAATTTTACCACCGGTTCGGCCACAAGGGATACATTCACGGCGCTTTCACAACATGCGAAAACTGGCACACGAAGCCCATACAGTATCCAACTCTGGATGACTTCAAGTTGGAAATTCAGAGCCGAGCAATGACTCAAGGCGGAGAGGTAATTCGACTGGACTGAATATTGAGCAAAAGAAGAGGTGAACAACGGGAGTTGCAAGAGAGAGGTCAACAACAGGAGTTGCAAGAGGATATTCCCTGGCCATTTTCGCGTGCATGCGATCAAAGGTAGAAAGGGATAGGCCTCCAGTCCGATGTACCAGTAGTCTACATACTTGCAACACGCTCTCATCTTCTCTAAAAACAAACGTGACATATCTGGCAAACCGTGATCTCCACTCATACCCAAATGCAAACCCGCGAAAAGCGCTTGACTGAAGAATGTGCATGGATCTAGATGACCCCGTCGATTCAGCGGTAGATAACTCCGTCGCTCTCTGCGAGCCTATGGATAATCGGCATCGAGACCGACATAACTACACTGAACCCTCATAAGTCTCCGTACACCACCCATACAGCACGTAACGGTATTCATCAATCGGAATAAGCATGATGGAATAAGCATTGGAAGTGGTGTATTAAATTGAAACTGCTTATTCATGTATAGTTATTCCAATATTTCCAGATTTCTAAATGTGACCTGGAACCTTGCCAACATAGACGTAGGGAGACTTGTGAGGACTGAGTCTACCTTGGCAGAGGGAGCTATACTAGATACCATTGAGAAATATGCCCCAATTTGCTGCTCATCACATTGCGACTGACTCAACTCCATCTCCATCTAGCCCGCCCTCTCTCAACCACTATCACTACGACAACAACCCCAACCGCTCCCTCAAAAATTCCGTCAACCCCTTCTCAATCGAAGCCGAAAACGCCGCGAAAACCACCATATCCGAAGTAACAGGCGCCGGACAAGCCCTCACATCCGCCACGACCTCCAGCTCCCTTAGTCCCCTCAGCGCCGCCAGCTCGCCCACCCACTCCAGACTCTCATGTCGGATCCCGGCCAACAGCCTCAAATCATCCGCCGAAAACTCAGCCGGCCCATCCGAAGGCCCGCTCGGCCGTTCACCCTGCACGACGAGCCGTAATTTGTGGATTGAGGCGCCGCAGTGGTCGCGCAGGAACCGACACGCGGTGCGCCAGTCGGCGCGGTCGCTCTCGCAGTACAGCGGCACCGCGGGCCCGCGCTTCGTGAGCGAGACGGCGGACACGAGGGCGCGGCTGGCGGACGTCAGGTCCGAGAGGAACGGCTGAATGGCCTCGATGTCAACCCCAAAATCGAAGGCGTGGCCGCCGTAGAGCAGACACGACGTCTCCTCGTGGATCGTCCGGTTGGCCTGCATCAGGGCGGCGCAGAAGCGGACCGTCTTGGTGGCGAGGTGGTATGTCGTCTTGTGGCAGCGCCGGTGCGGCGAGCGGTCGAGGACGTAGTAGCGGCTGCGGGTCCTGGTGGCTGTTTGGGGTAGCTTGTTGGCGGTGGCGGTGCGGATGGAAAGGTATTGGTTCCCGTCGTCGTTGAAGAGGTGTTCGTAGATCATCAACCGCACTTCGGCGGGCACATACATGAGCGGTGACTCCATCTTTATGTGAAAGTATGGTGCGGACGAATCTTGCCAACCTTATTGCGACTAACAGCCCTGCTGTATATGACGATGCTTGAGATCGGGTGGTCCGATGGTTGTTAATCCGCACTTATACCAAGATAGAAGCATTGAAGAAACCAAGTGGAAGGAGACCAGACCCGAGAGAATTGTCAGAATTTGAGAGTATGACATCGGCACGGGTTTGTTGTCTCACCCTCCCAAGGAGCAGCCATCTGCAGTCATCCTACCAACGGACCAACAAGGTCCTCGATGCGAACCAACCAGGTCCTCAAGCCCGGAGTCAGCCCCCAAGGCTCTGGGCGGCATGGAACTGTTGGCTGCAGGTGCATGGCGTCGTTCTATTTCCGGCTCAATATCTCGTAAGTAGTGGTGTGTGGCACAGCATGTCCGTAGCCTGCTTCGTCGCGTTTCCAAGCGGCGCTGTCAGATTTCGGACCACATGTCAATCCACAGTCGGATGGCTTAGAAGAGATTGAAGTCAGCAGGAACTTTCCAACCAGAATCAATGATCATACGCTGTCTTCTAAAGCCCTTCCGAAAGCGCACCCAGGGGTGAGAAAGCCAAAGCTCGAACTTCCTCCCCGAACGGTTGAACGATGGAGGTTTTGGGTGAGGGGTCAGCACAGGGGCCGACCCACAACTCGGCGCGCCATCTGTGCCGGGATTCCATCCGAAACTCAAAGCTGACAACACCGCCATGGCATGTCTTATGTCAGCTTCGTTCCATGCAAACGCTTTGGCGGTAAGACGCCGTTGTGACCAGGGGAAATGGATCGAAACGTGCAGCCGGGTTAGCCTCCTAATATCACATCGTTCGCCTAAGAGACGCTGTTCAAGAACAATCATGGCACCTGGAATAAACACCGGTATAAGCTGCATTTGAAAGCTCACGACATCAGCAGCTGCTTATTCCAGAGTTAGCCAGACCCTAAACAGTGCACGACCTGCCCCAGAAACCCTCCAGAGACAAGTCAATAAGTTGTAACAAGACCATCAAAGGTTAACCAAGTCACGCACGAAGAATACATCAAACACATATACAAATGAACATGAGGTCTGCATTCCAAGAGTGCCTCATAAACGGCCTATATACCATACCCTACCCCGTAACGACCTATTGACTTATCAAGTACCCAAGCTAGAAGCAGGTCGAGTCCTCTGGACGACCCACATCCACTTGATACAATGATAGAAACCAAGCACCATGAACGCCGAGCAATGCAGTGCAGCCAGCGTATCAATGAGCCCCCGTGGACGACTATCCTATACACATATAAAGATAAGAAAAAAAGTGAGAAGAGGTATCTCTACACTGCAGTCAGCGCGGTGGCTGCGTCGCTTATGATCTTCGCTGTCTTGTCGATGATCTTTTGGGCCAGCGGCCAGTCCTCCACTTCGATGACGTCGCGGATCGCCGGGAAGAAGGCTTCGTCGTAGCCGGACCAGAGGTCTGGGCCGAAGACGACGTGCTTGAACTGTGTCCGGTTCGGTATCTATAAGTCCTTGTCAGTAAGCGGTTCCCAGTTGCATGGACAGGGGCCAACTCACTCCACCGCCGAACTCCAGATCCAGCAGGCCTGCCTCAAAGTTTGCCATGCGCGCGTTGTAGTCGCACCTCCTCGATCCCAACCCATTAGGTTCCCACCCGTTGGAAGCGACCACACTCTGCTCCCAGTAGGGCTCCCACTTCTCAAATTGCGCCACTGCATTTTCAACTTCTTGGACAGCCTCTTTTATAGGCTCGAGGTTGATCTTCTTGTTCTCGCCCTCGAGCAAATTCTTATCTTCAGCCCAGTGCCACAAGTTGCCCAGATATCGTCCGAGGCTTAGCGCATAGTTGCCCATATCAAAAGGCAGAATGGGCCTCTCCGAGAGCTCAAGAAGGAGCAGCGCAGTGACCTGGCCAAGTAGACCGTGGTATACGAAATCGGGGTCTCCGACAGTCTGCATCCAGTCAAAGTTGTCGTACGATGAATGGTACGGGTGCGCGGCACCACCAAAGCGGATGTCGACCGAGCTGGTGCCTGCTAGGTCCTGGAAGGCAACATAATCGCTCCCCGATCCAAGGCTTTCGAGTTCCGCGTTACGCTCATCCCAACGAGCGAGAAGCGTCGTGTTGAAGTTTGGGTCCGTGACCCGGTCGAGGACCTTCCATATTAGTTTGCGGAACATTGGGGATCCCGCGGCGTGGAACTCCTGCCCCGAGACAGCAGCGTCGAGGTTGATGTAAGCAAAGGCATCCTTCTGAAGAGATTTGAGATTGTTCTCGACGAACTCTGTGCTGCCAATCATGTTGTACTCCTCAGCGTCCCAGCTCATGAACTCGATCGTACGAAGGGGCCGCCAGCCTCTGGTGACAAGGTCGCCAAAGATTCGTGAGACTTCCAGCATGACTGCAGTGCCTGAATTCGGGTCTGTTGCGCCAAAGGCCCAGGCATCACGATGGTTGCCAATGATAATGGACTTCTCGCTTTGCTCGATGCCGGCAATCTTTCCGTACACGTTCCAAATCTCTTGCTTCTCGTTCTCATCCTGCTCGTTCTTCAATCGTACAATCGGGGATGACGAGTTTCCTGACCACCATTCGACGTCGGGCACTCCGCCACGCCACTCCTCAGGGCACCGCTCGCCGAAACCTTTGATATGCTGTAGAAGCACCTTTGCATCCCGCCAGGCGAGCGGTATGCTGGGTATCTTATTTAGACCAGGAGTCTGGTCTAGGGTTTCCCGCGGTTGACCCTCCTTACTCTCCCACCCAGGTGTTAGCACATCTCCTATGACCCAGCCCATCAGACTGACTGATCCCCTCTGGACGGCGTCGGCTGGCATGTAATGACCACCCGGCGCGGTGTCACCTTTGAGGAAACCGTCGTCGGCTGGATCGCTGTAGATGATACAACCAGCAAACCCGGCCATCTCGGCCGCTTTGACCTTTAAAGCCCGATCGCCTTGTGTACCGCCATAGCGGACTATTGCGATCGCACCTTTCGTATCTATCCCCTTCTCCGACAGCCTCTTGAAGTCATCTCTAGACCCGTAATTCGCATATATCAGGGGTCCCTTCACGTCACCTGACTTGGAGTGGCCGTGAAACACAAAGGTCTGATGACCTGCTGATTCACCGCCAACTTCCGGCTCTTCCAGCGCTGCGGTCCACGCCGCCTTGCTTCCGTCCTCCGACATTATTTCCACCGCTCGACCGCCGGGTTTCGGATAGTTGAGGTATACGTAGTAGTTGTCGACGGTGACCTCATCCAGGCCATTCTTCAAGAAACTGCTGTGCACATCCATTGCCAGCGCATAGTCACCCTCTGTTCCGGCGATGTGCGCAAAGTCTGTGAAATGCTTCAATGTGTCCCTCATCCGCACCGTATCGACATGCATCTGCACGAACTGTCGCACCGCTTCGGGATCTAACATCTGCCCACCAATGCGCCGCGACATGCTCGTGAAGATGTCGCTCATGAATATCAGGTAGAGGAAGCCGAGAACGAGGAAGACGGCGAGTAGTCTGCCAACCAACAGCAGGGCGGCCGCACTGTTGAGTTTCGGCATGTTCCATCGCCACCGCGTCGCGCTGGATTCGGCCTGCTCGTTGCTGATATTGTCGCCCTCGCGCGGTAGGCGCACCGTAAGTCTGGGAAGCCGCCATCTCCACTTCCACTGCGGCAATGCGAAGCCTATCCGTTTCGTCCACGATGGCGAAGACCTGGAGCTTGAGCCGTTCAATGGGTCTTCGATCTCCAACTCTTCCATCGCGCGCCGCGCTCGCGAATCTCCGTGACCGTCGCTATCGTCATCTTCGAGACTCCATTCCGATCCGTCGTCGTCATCTTCGACGTAGGGAGGCCGATAGCCTCCGGGAGCCCGTCTCGATGGCTCAGGCTGGCGGGTATGTGAGGAGAGGAGCGACTGTGCTTCGGTCTCGTGGTCGGGTCTCGTATGTATCGGCGATGGTGGCGGCGGCCAGTCTGGGCGGGAGGAGGAGGAGTTGCCACCGGTGGCTTCATCGTATGATGGTATGGGCGGCGCAGGCACGTAATGGGACTTCTCGGACGGCATCTTGACACACCAAGCTCATCGGCAGTTCAAGACCGGGTCATCGGGGTAGCTGGTTCATAAAACTGGGTTGCGATATACAAATACATGCGATCGTAGGCGGCCTGTGAAGTGATTACGAGGCTACGAATCGAGACACGATAAAGGAGCGGATCGCCTCGAACAAGGGAAAAGAAGTCTAGCAGGGGAAGGATGACAGCATATGTCCAGACACCGGTGCAGATCGCATCGAAAAAGAGAATGGGGTTGAGCAAGGGTATTACAGTGCAACAAGATGCTGAACCGCAGCGGGATGGTGAACGGTGAGTGGTGATCTGGGTGCGTTCGACAGTCGAGACAGTCGGTTGTTCAATGGGGTTGTTGGCTCGATTCCAGACCTGGGGCTGGAACATGAGGCGTCCACTGTAAGCGGGAGATCCTGGCAGTCTGGAGGTTCCTGCACAGTCACTGATGCACAGCCACATTCAGGGGCTCTTCCCACTTATCTACCTATCTTATCAGTCTTATCATTACCTCAAATGCAAATCAAGCTGCCAAGTAGACAACATAATAAGACAACCACTTGGCTCTAGCTTATGATTGAACAACGATAGAAGACGTATTATTCTGATCTCTTTAGAGGCACTGGGCACTGATGACTGCAATTAATTCATACGAGCTCTTACATGGGCCTTGAGATCTGACTGATCCGCAGTAGCACCCCCTTTCTCGAAGTCCCAACTCGCTCATGTTCCAAACAGCCTGGGATATACATATGTACACAAGAATGCTCTGCTTTATCTCGCTGTGTCGAACCGACATGTCAAAGAGCCACGACGCAGGAATGAGCGACGGCTTTCTGAGGCTCGAGACGCGCAGGCGGGGGGTATACCCCATCGGCTCCGAATGTGATAACATCATAGCGCAGTATGCTCACTTCTGCGGTTGAAGTACCACCCCTTCATACTGCCTTCCTGCGATGTTCTCTAGAGTATGCTTAAAATGCCGCTTGCTATTCTCGACATTGGCCGAATCTTGCTGGTTGGTGCCCAGGTTCGAGTGGATAAGCTCGATGAGTCCATTGATGTACTTGGTAGTGACCTGGAGCTGTTAGCACATGCGTCTGGTGCCTCTTGAGAGCATTAGGGTGTGTTCTCTTACCGATTCGTTCGACTGATCAAAGTAGTACACGTAGCGATCTAGGATCTCCACAAATAGCTCGATCGATGTGGCCTGTTCCATACATGAGTCTGCAACCCGCAGAGCTCGCTGTAAGCATTCCAGGACTCTCTTGCCATCCCGGTACAGCTGAGTCAAAGGGTCAGCAACAACACTAAGTAGAGCATGATCCAATACTAAGAAAACACTTACTCCTTCCTCCGACTCCTCAACAGCGGCAATCGGAGTAGCCCACCAGAGGTGGCTGGCCAGATAGACTGCCCTGCACTGGTCCGGTTTTCTGAGAAGTTTGCTGCCGTGGAGGGCGCACTTCGTTATGAGAGTGTCGTAATTTTCCTTGCCAAAGTTTCGTGTCTGGTGTAGTGCATTGGCAACGATACATACTGCCTGGAATTGCGCCTTGGAATCAGACACTGCCTCCTCGTAGACCGTAAAAGCCTGAGCGAAGAACTCGTAAGCGACTTCTTCGAATCCTGCCATGTCCGCTGTCTGACCACAGGCGCAAAACAATCGAAGGGCAAGCTCAGCAGCACCAGCGCCGTTCACTCTTGCATATAATGCCGTAACAGCCGAGTGCATAAACTTGAACAAGGCGCTCGACTGTGTTTCCCAGTTGTCATCGTAGTGCTCCCGGGCCTTGAAGCGACGGGCTAGCTTCATGGAAGCAGTGATAAGCGGCGGCGTGGTCGTCCGAATCCTCTCGTTTCCTTCTGCAAACGCTTTGCGAGCCATTTGAAGCAACCGAAATTGGGTGTCGTTGTCTTGGCTATTGAGTAGGTGGACGATTCGTGCCAACCATCCCTGCTCTTCCATCGTCTCGTCGGTTTCCATGGGCCTACGTTGCGGGCCGCCAGGATATCCAGCAGGAGGCTGCGAGCCTTCTTTGATGAGTACCTTCAGTACTTCCAGAGCACCCTCCAGTTGCGTCGTGGTTGAAATCACTGTTTGGTTACGCAACAAACTCCGTGCGATTTCACCAGCAACAGCTCGTCGCGTAGGATACGTCTGAGATTGAAAGAGGGGGACATAGGTGGGTAGGGATAAAGCTGTGAATAGTGAGACATATCTCTTCAGAGGGGCCTGAAGGAGTGCGAGTAAGCTCTGCTGCGCCGGAGCCGAATGCAGATCCGCACTGTTTGCGTGTTCCTTGACCTTCCGATTCGCATACTCCAGGATCTGGTCAACGTAGTCGAGCCGATCAGGGTATATGTTTAGAGCCAAGTTGGTGAGGGACACCAGCAAGGCAATAGTATCCTGAATAGGTAGATGTTGCGCGCTGACGAGGTTGTTGACTTGGTCGAAGAATATCTCGTAAAGCTTAACGTGAGGAGGGATTCCACGCTGTTTCTTCGGTGTGGGTGTCGCTGGCTCTTGCTCGCCATCGACAGCGGTCGCCTCCGTATCTGCGACCGAGGGAGCAGGTTCAGATTCCGAAGCCTTGCTTTCAGCAGAATCTGCGGATTCGCCGTTCGTAGGCTCACCATTCGTGTCCGACTCCGGCTCTGTCGGCTCTGGCTTCGACTCCTGTGCTTCCTGGCCCAGGCGGATTTTCTCCAACAGGTTCACCAAGGCCTCCTCTTCCAGCTTGCCTCTGTCTTCTGAGTCGTCTTCCTGCGATTCCCGTTCGGCATATGCGGACAACCTGTCCATGAGGCCAATGACGATTCCCTTGACGTTGACATGGGGGTTCAACCGAGACACCGCCGCGAGAAATTGGTCGAGGGTATGTAGGTGGAACTCATCAGGGAACACCTGCGTGATGATCTCCAAGAGGTATTCCTGTGCTAACACATCCCGACACTGGACTACCTGTTCAAGAAGTGGCGCCAAAATTCCGTTGCTGTACGTCTCGAGATCTACCAATTGACTCAATCGCACGATGTTGCTGCCCACCAACAACTGCAGCTCCTTGCGCTCCCTGGTCCTTTGTTCCCGTTCTCTCGAATGGCCTTGGTGTTGTAACCGTACCCAGAGCTTGTTCATCTCGACGAAATTGGTGAGAACGAAGCTTATTGAGTCCTGGAGATTGCCTTCGGGGCCATCACCCTCGCCAGCGGGAAGGAAGTCCCTGGCCTGACCCGATAGGTAGTAGCGCAGGAATAATCCTCGGATAGGGTGCTGCACACCGCGGCTCATGTCCATCATATCCTTCATCAACTCCTTGACCGGAGCTTCGGGGATAGCCATGTAGGCGGTCCCGACTGTCATCATAAGATACAGACGGGGGATGATGTTGCCAGCATACTGCACGAGTTCGTAGAGGTCGGCGAGGTGATTATGGGGATGGTTCTCTCGAAGGTGTACGGACAGGTAGCGCAAGGCATCGAAGACGGACATGTACAGCTCGTAGTACTGTTTGGGTCCCAGGCTACTCGTGCGCAGTTCAGCGACCAGTGTGGAGCTGCATCATACAGAGAGTCAGCTGGTTTCAGTGTATTCCTTCTCGAGAGGGTGATGGCAGCCAACGTACCAGCACTTGAGCGCGTCCATAAGCTTGCCATGGGTATCGAGACATTTGCGCATGAGCACAGTCTGCTGGCGCACTGCGATCAGGGCATCCTCCAGTAGCCTCGCCTGGTCCTCAGGCGGAGCAGGAGTTGTCGACATAGCGGGTCGGGCGGGAAGGGTCGGTGGTAGGTACCCGGCAGACAATTACTTTGAGACCTCAGTAGAATGCCTCACATGCCATCGGATCGCCGGTATCGAATATCGTCACCGGGCGCGAATGTTCGCGGCAAGGTCAGGGCAGGGAGAGGTGGTGCCTGTTGATGAGTGGGACAGGGTGAGCAGCCTCCACACATCGAGAGCTCTCTCGATCCAGCCAGCCCAGCTTGCACAGCCTTGAGGACACCAGCCACAGAGACGATACAGCCACACTGAATACAGTGGGGCATCATCTCGACACCCTTTCACGCCTTCAAGGCTTGCACCTCGATTCCATGTTCACACTTTCAGGTGCCCCTTACCTTACACAATCATTCGGTACTTGTTTCTCCCAGCGCCATCATGTCTTCCGAGGTGTCTACCTACCTAAGTGTCTGCTCCTCTACCACGAAACCTGTGCTTTCATACATTGATTGACAAATGCAAGGCTTCCACTCATCGCCGGGGGTTCACCTGCATAGGTAGGTAAAGTATGTATCTACACCCGACATGGTGGTAACCCATGCGTGAGGCGTCTGATAATGCCGTTGCCGACCGCTCTGTGGTCTCAGGTCTCAGTGCAACATGCCTTCTCAACTGCATTTAATTGCAGCGATTCATGCCTACGTACTGATACCCACTTCCTATCGCAACATGCTGTGACGAGCAACGGCACTCGGTCTAGATCAGTGTGACCGGAAGCTACACCATGATCGCACGATCCACTTCGGCCCTCACCCGGCAGTGGGCCACCGGGTGCTTACGGGTCCCGGCGCGTCTCGCACTACGACCGCGTGGACCGAGCCTACCCTCGCAAGGCCGTCAGCAACACCTTCGATGGAACTCTGCTATTCCTATAGCGTCGCAGGCAAAGACAGCAGCCGACAGCCAGACGAGCCACATCCGCCTACAGATGCTTACTATGGCCAGCACTCGGAGCTCATGGGCGTCAAGGTTGAAGCATCACGGGAGAACGGGCGCAGGGCTCTAGACGTCCTGGAGGGTCTCGACGACGTCGACGCCAACCTCATGGTCTCAAAAGGTATAACCTGCTTGCAAGCTTATTGCGATCGTCTCAATTCACTCTCTATCGAGGAAGCACGTGACGTACTCGCTGTCGACAACGCCGCACGAAGGGTGTGGCAGTGGGTGTCGAAGCCTCTAGTCCGACACAGCGTCGAGTCCAATCACCCAGATAATCGGTGCGTCGGCAAGCCTGTGCAGTTTTCATTATATGGCATTGCATTAACACGTCTTTGCAGTACTCTTTTGTCATCAGTGGCAAGCATCCTGGTAGGCGCGAACCAAGTCAAGCCATTTGAAGTTTGGACTCGTGTTCAGCCATCTACTAGCAAACAGACTGTTACCAAGAAAGAAATCCACCACCTTCATAAGAGGAAGGGCGTTGTGCTGTCTCGGATTATACAAGCACTACTGCACTGGAGCCCTGATGGGTCAGCTGACGCTGCTACAAGCTATTTCTCCTGGTTCCTGGATGAAAGTGGTCTCCGTCTACGTGCTGCGGTGCCGATAGTAGCTGCTTGGACCATTATCACCGGTGCTTGGGAGACGGTTCCGGTTACGAGTGAGAATTTCGAACGTTGTGTAAAGACCTATCGTCGCACCCTTCACCCCGGGCTCTTGACGGACTTTAGTGTCGCAATACAGTGGCTGAATCACCCTAACCATCCTACGGCCGACCCTCTGCTCTCGGTCTTCCGAACTGTCGATCATGATCCTCAAAGTTCAATGCGAAGGTGGCTGACAGGCTCAAATCCATGGTCCCAGTCACATCATATCTTCTATCTGGCCCACGAAGCAGCAAAATCTTGGAGCCACAGGGACGGTATGATGTCAGGAAGCATCCAATGAACAAAGGGATCATACGTGTACATATACATGGCCTCCGCGCCTGATTAGTACTGCACCTCTCTGCAGAACAACATACTATTTCCCTCCCCCCCCTATGGTTGGCCATGTGACAGATGACGATGCCAAATGGATGCTCGCTTTTGTAGAGGCTACGTGGGGAAGAGATTCTCAAGTTATGGTGCATGCGACAGATCGCCTCTCAGCGCGTTCTAAACAAGAGATCGATGGACATCCGGCGGACGGGAAGAGCGTTGAGAGGGCGTGAGGTATCAACTTGGGGCAAATATCAGGTTGACACAGGTTGGATGCCGCCGGACTCGGCTGAGAATGGCCGACGACGAGAAAGTGAATAGAATTCGTGGACCCTCATTGCGTCAGTATTACCGCAAAGTTGCAGGCATCGTACCAGGGTGGTAATATACAACTTCTTGTACATTACCGTGTGGATGACAGGTCCTGTTTGTGCCGCTCTCCTCCATGCTATGAACGATACGAGGTCGACTTCCCATCTTCCTGCTAGTATCTCTTTCTCTTACGGTCGGTTGTTAAGAGTCTGTCTTGCTTCTCAACCCATTACTAGTAAGCCCAGACCAAGGATTCCTGGCACCATACTTCAGTACATGGAGGAACTGGGTGCCCGGCAAGAGAAAAGATAGGCTGGACCCAGACAGCCAGAGCTGAGATGGAATCCATCTTGCACAAGACCACTTCTTTAAATATTTGAATAGCGACGTACATAGCTGGATGCCCTGCAGACGGAGCCAGTCGCCTTCGCAAAGTCTTGTTGAAACACTATCGAGGATCGTAGCTCCTCTCAGCCGGATCAGTCAACTACACGGACGCCGTCTCTCGAAGTGGCACAAACCCCTTCAGGTACAAAGCAGGTTCAAAAAGCAACTTAGAACACCATTCCTACGTATCCCCTTGAGTTCGGAATGTGACCACGACGCTAAGCATTCTCCAAAGCCTATTAGATATCAGGCCAAAGCTGTGCCTTCTGGCAGGGGCCCAGAATACCATGTTACGATGACTAGTATTCTGGATGTTCTGCTTGCTGTCTAGAAGGATGGGAGCTTGTCCCATCCGAAAGGTCTCTTTAGTCTAGATACAGTGCAAACGGTACCTTGTCCTTTGGCAACAATCCGGCCCAACCGACAAGACACCTGACAGCTGGAATCAGCTGGATCCACAAAGCCGCCTCCCGCAACTAATTTCGGCTTAAGTAATGTCTATGCAATAGCTTAAAAATCAATTAAACATTTTAACGTACCTTATTACCTGCATATTAATATCGACGCGTATCAAAAACGCGAAAACATACATAAATACGCGGGTCAGGTACATGGCCGAGGAAAAACAGACGGGCGCGCCGTGGGTGGCTAAAATGATAGCGAGGCCGTAGCCACATTCCGAACTCAAGGGGACACGGGCTTTACATCAAGCGAACATCTGTGAGATTTCAAAGTGTTCTATTAAGGAGAGGAATTCCAGCTACTCTGGAGCGGCCAGAGTGGCCCTATATATGTCTAAGATACTAAAAGAAAGGATACGTGGCCTTATATTGGCCACGTATGTGACAGAGTCACAAATGGGGATGGTGATCCTGAAGGATGACTATGGATGGGCTAACATTGTGGCTCCTCAACCCATTTTCCAGCCACAATGATGGATGGGTCACGGACCAGGGTACAAGGTACCTTGGAGCTCAACTGGTACCCGTTTGTACCAGATTCGTACCCAACTGGGATGATAGCTACTTCTGGGATGGGGACACCACCCATCCCTTCTTTCAATCAAGCAACTTCCAGAATACAGACCAATAGCCACCATTTGTGACCCTGGTCCTTATTCTGGATACCGCTACCACAAGGCACAACATAGCCCAGAATCCAACACGCCCTCTCAGACTGAGGGAATTAACATAACCAGAATATCACCCCTCTACATGAACCAGTCCTAGCAACTCCAGAAACTTGAAGAACCTTGCCTTTATCAAAACTTTGGTAAGACCGTCTGCAGATATTTCATTAGTTCCAAGAAAAGAGAGCCGTATATGGCCTTCTGAGATCTTCTGACGAATATAGTGTTCCTTGACTCAAATGTGCTTAGTTCGATGATGGAATTCAGCGTTCTGAGCAAAGTGAATAGCTCTAGCACTGTCTGAATGGATGTTGATAGTATTCAGAGTGAATCTAAGTTCCAGCATCAGTTCTTGCAGCCAGGCAGCCTCTTTGACGGCTTTAGAGAGTGCGTAGTACTCTGATTCTACGGTAGATTGAGCCACAACAGTCTGCAGCTTGGATGCCCAGGAAACAGCGCCCCCAGCAAACGTGAACAGGTAGCCTGAGGTGGATTTGTCGCTGGTATTGATGCTTTTAGCATAGCTGGCATCACAGTAACCAACCAGCAGATCCGGAATCATCTCAAAAACCTCCTGGGGGTCTTCCCGATACATTTAGGACCTCCAAATTTGATCCCAAGATCTTGAGAGTGCCATAAATAACGAAATAGGCCCAGAACGGCCTTATATTGGGCTGAGCCAGGGTTGTGAAGGTATCGCGAGAGAACACTTATAAAGTATGCGATATCTGGTCTCATATATGATGCAGGGAAGTTCTCAAAACGAATCAGGGACTGGTATGTCTGAATAGGACATGTATCAATCTCAAGGTCATTGTCAAGAGACTCCATCTGTTCCACTGCTTAAGGAGATATTGGCACATTCATCTTGCCAGTGTTCTACTGGTCGAACGCCTCTGCAGTTCTTCTCACGTACATCTGTTAAGAGAAATATAAAGCCCTCTCAGCTCGGTTTCTGACAATATGGACTCATAAAAAGTGTTCAGCGGCTCCCATGTCCTTTATCTCAAATATAGAACCTAATTCCTTCTTGAAGACAACGATCCCGTCATGATTAGTCTCTAGAATAAGGAAATCGTCGACATAGCTGATCATTATAATGCCACAGCTGGTGTTGAGATAGACTGCGTTGTTAGAGACCAGAGGGTCGAATCCAAGGTCCTCCAGAACGCTGCAAATACGTTTCTGTCACTGCTTTGGGCTCTGCTTGAGCCCATATAGCGGTTCTGCAAGCTTTATAATCATGCCAGGTCTCCAGTTGATGATATTCTCATCTGGATACATCTCAAAGAAGTCAAAAAGACCATCAGGCGTCTCCATAAAGATCTCTTCATCCAGTTCTCCCATCAAGAAGGCAGATACAGCATCGATCTGGTCAATCTCCCAGTCAAGAACGGCAGCAATGGCTAAAAGGAGCCTCCAAGTGGTAATATGAGTGCCTGAGGCCTGGGTTTCGAAGTAGTCAAGGCCATAGTGTTATATAAAGCCTCATATAACCACCCTAGTCTTGTACTAAGAGATAATGCCATCAGTGTCCTTTTTCCGTTTATAGACATTACGGTTAGAAAAAGTTTCATGTTTAGCAGGCAGATCAGACCTCCATAAAGAAATGAAGGGCCATATGGCGCAATGGTCAAATGCGCCTAGTTGTGTTCTCGTTTGTGCGGTGGGCGAGAAGAACAAGTGGGTTCAAATCCTGCTATGGCCCCCTTCTGACCCGGCTTGTGCAAGTCGACAACCAGCACACGACAATAGAGAGGCCCCATTATTGCAGAGTCCGATAGCCAAGAAGCTTGTCTCCACAACACCCACTCCTGCGAGATTTTTCCCCCTGTGGTTTCCCATTGACTTCATAGCAGCAGCGGCTATGCCCATTCGTGTGACTAGAGTGTCTCCTACGTCCTCGAGCCTCCGCAGAATCTTCTTGTACTCGTCGCTCTGTACGCCCGTACCCATCTCGACCTCGCGCTGTAGTTCCAGGAATGTCTTGAGAATGTCTCGTGTCTCGAGTACGTGAACACCAGCTGCGTTGATGCCGTCTTTAAAATTTTGAAGACGTATCTCTGCCTCGCTGAACCTACGTGCCATGGTGTGCTGCCGCGCAACGTTGTTGCTTACATGTCTAGCTAGTGATCTGGAGAACCTTGGTACGCCCAAATGACACATGGGGTCAGTGAGGTCCTCAAATTTGTAACTCATACTTGCGGGGTGTGGGGCTGTATGCTTGGTAAGCTTCACCACGCTAGACTTAAAGCACGAAGATATGGTGCTCATCATACGTTCGCTGGACCTCCCCATGGCAAATATCTCGACGGCGCTCGGTCCATGCAGCTCGGTCTCCACCAGAAGACGGGTTATAAGGCTACATTGGTACACGCTCTCCCTGAACGATAGTACGCCTTGTGTAGTAGCAAAGACCCGTTCATTCACTATCAGTATGCCATCTTCAAGGAGCTCCCAGCCATTACGGAAAGTCGAGATTGTTTGCTCACGTGGTATGCTGGCGTTTATGAGGAGATCATTGGCAAGTACACTCACCGTGGGTGTTACTTCCTTACCCATGTTTTCCACACACTTCTCCCACGAGAATGACATAGCTGCAGCCACGCTCGGAAACACGTCATTGGGATGTAAAGCCAACAGATAACAAACACCTATTTCACCCACCAATGCGACATATATCGAACGGCTACTGGAACAATGTGTACACCAGAGGACTGAGGTTCACTGGGTTGCTTTGTCACTGGGCAGGAGGTTTTTCTGACGGAATCGTGCTTGGGTATTGACTAAAACCATCTGGTCACTTCAGATTGGTACCGCTACAGCGAGGATAGGTTCGTGCGCGGATCTGAATGTATCTAGATTGACACCTCTACAACCTTGCGATGCAATGGCTCTAGGAGGCGTGGTTTGCCCTATTGAGGGACTGCACCCACGACAAATATAATCAAATCAAATCAAATAAAGGAATGAAGGTATTATTGTGTAGTAATGCCCGTATCTCTGTGTGAGTGATATCCAGTCATTGAGGTGCCTTAACAGACTCTATAGCTTCTTTGTAGCTAAAAGGCTTGTCGTTATAGGGAAGTGCCTAATTAGGGTCAGAAGATGGCCAATTGGCATAAGATGCCTTAATTGTAACATATGGAGATATGCCAGGGGTGGAAGACTCGGCCACGTAGTGATTGTGAGTCCGCTGAGTGCGCCCTCCGGGGAGTACATTCTCTGGGTTGAGCCCTGATTGGATTCTTGACCGCGGAGCAGCCGTTAGGGCTACTTTTTGACGAGGTTATTCAGATAATAAGAGAATCGATTCAGCTAGAACAAAACTAGACTCAGGGTCGCTATATTCAGAGTTAGAATAATGATTATCATTATTATCAGAAGTATGAGGGGCCCTAAGAGGGGTCCTTAATATGATAACTGGTTAGGGTGAATCATCTCTATCATCCCTTCTGTTATCTGACTTGATATATATATGCTGAGGATCATGAGCGCCCTCTGGCAAAGACGGCATTAACAGATCTTTAGTATCGGGTCTGGTTGTCTCATAATCATTAAGTGTACCACAGAAGTTTAGAAAGATATGGATCAAATCCCCTAAGAGAATATACCTATCCAAAATCTCAATATGGGCAGTAACTATAACCTTTCTCAGGTATATAAGATACATCTAGGACTGATTGGAACTAAGGGAACAAAGAATACGATTTTTCCTTGCGTGTGGAGCGGTCTTGTCTCCCTTAGGGCGGCGCTGCTGCGGCAAATAGACCACGGCGGCCTGCCCGGTTGACAGTAAATTTGTCAAACCAGGCTTGTTATCCTTTCCAGGGTTCAGATCATCAAAAAAGACTTCAAAAGGAGTCTTCTTAATGCCCTAAAGAAAAGACATATACCTCATATTGAGCCTATCACATACAACAGGTCTAACAACCGGCCAAAGGGCTTCAAGTAACCTGGAATCCTTCATAATACTATAAATAAGAGCATGTATAACGCCAAAGGATCTCTTAGCCATTCCGTTTTATTCAAGAGTGTATGGAGCACTGACTTCAAACAGGATACCACGTTCAGCTCCCCATTGCTTGAATCTCGCATATTTAGAACCACCATCCATTCAGAATCGCTTTAGGTAACGCCCATACTGGGTGTGAACGTATTCGCAGTAGCGGATGACTTGGTCGGAAGCTTCCCTTTCTTCACATGAGGGCAGTACTCCCTCAAACGAGACTTGCCATCCACAAATATGGTGGCATAAAGAGAACTATTATAGCCTTGGACAGTGTGCTTGACTGTATCCATATGGACCAGGTCTAAAGCATGATCTGGATGTTCCTGTTCAACTTGAGAGACTAGGCGACGTAGATTGGACTCCAGACATTCTAGACAGGTGAATTCTTATACCAGCTTTTGTATATTTGGCGGCAATTCAATCCCTTTGGTGATACTGGCTGTCTTGATTAGGTCATTAATAGATCGGTGGCCAAGTCTTGTATGCCAGCAGTGGAGTAGTCTCAGCGCCTCAGATTTGGCTTGAGAGGTCAGTTCCTGAGAAGAATCCTTGGATATCATATTGGTGAACACAACCAGGGCTGGATTGATCCCGTATACGTCCTTCCAGACACTAGGGATCTCTATCTGAACATACATTCCCTGGTAGAATGATGCTACCTATGTCCCATTGGGGTCAAACAGATCGCGGATCATCAGATACCATCCTTAGCGATACATCTGGTCTCTCGAGAGAATATTGATTGGAAAGGAAGGCACACATAGTACTTCAGAGATTGTCTGAGTGACGGTATCACCATTAGAAGTAATAAATGGTATCTCTATGTTGCTAATACCCTGAGGAGTAACAGGGCCTCCTTTAGTGTTAGAGGGAACCAGGTCAGGGTCCATTCAAAGGCAAGTAAACAACTTCTTGCTATTACAAATAGGAACAGTAGAGCCAGTATCAAACAGCCACAAGTCTGTGCTTATTGTGGCATAAATGGTGTCGATCAGATTGGTACTCGCTCCCTGGTTGGCGCTATGTGGACCTGTAGTAAGGAAAGGTTGACTGGAGATGTCTTTATCGGCATAATTGCACCATTGAGCGGCGTCAGAAGCACCAGTGTGACCCCTTTGGTGAGTAGGAGCGCTATTTGAAGGCCTTTCAGCTTTCTTAGCCTTCTCATAAGCCTGGATAATCTGGTTAAAGATGCGTTTATTGCATCCAAGGTGGCCCTTCTTCTTGTCAAGCTCTCTGCACTCATAGCACCAGATAGGATCCGTGATATTGCTGTTAGAAGAGCCCTGATTGACTCCAGGGGTTCTGGGGTCATTAAGAGATGGGCGATTGCTGCCTTTCCCCTTGTTCTTCCACTTGTTCTTGCCTTTACTAAGCGTAATAGGCTTACCAAAATTAGTGATAAAGGTCTCATCTTAAGCCTTGCAAATCTGTATCTCCTCCTGGAGCCGGTACAAGAGATTCTCGGTCATAAGGAAGATTCTATGGTTATAGTCCTCCGAGATTTCGTGGTAAAGGGTTGGAAAGGCTGTCCGAATAACAGCCAGGAAATTGGCAAAGCGAATATTCAGAGGATATGTGATATTCTGTCGCAGAACCTTGTCCATTAGTCTGCGGTAGTTGCCCACGAACTTGTCTCCATGGTCAGAGAATCGAATAGCAGCCAGTTCATCTACAACGGATGAAACTGCTGTCACGGCGAGCGTACTGAGGAGCTGGGACATGGCCGGCAGCAAGCAGCTATTACTCGATTGACGAGAATATCAAGACTAGAGAGGAAAGGAAGAGAGAGAGAGATAGGTACAGTGGGAGGTTGCCCCTTTAAGGGGATCCTCTGGTCAGATCCTTCCCCTTTTAGGAAGTATCCACTTGTCATGTGGGAAGGTCTGTGCAGGCCGTCACAACTGCGTCAATTCTCGTGCCTGAATATGCCTGTCATAAGGCTATCCAGATCTGACCAGGGTTAAATAAACCCATGATACAAGAACCAGGGTCAGACTTAATATTCTGGGTGATAGCGAGGTATAATTTTAACCTCTTAATGCTCAGACTAGAATCCAATTCAGGGGGCTTGGAAGAGGCTCCCACAGAAGGTATAGCTTGTGCATCAACAGCACTAGTAGTAGCCTTATATGGTTCTTTCTTGTCTGCCTTGATGATTTCAAGGATAAGAGACCAGAGCCCAAGAGTAGTGAGCAAATGCTCCATCATTAGGGCCCAGACCTCCCAGTTCTCCTTGCCGACGAGCTTCTGATGGTCTTAGAGGCGACGGATAGAGGTGGGCATAAAGGCCAGGGCTGTCTCTGGAATGGATTCAGACATAATATAAAAAAGATAATACGTTGTAAGGCTAGCTTACAAATAAGGCAAAATATAAGCCAAGAAATGACCTCTTTTTATATAAAAACTTTTTTTATGACAAAAGATTATTTGAAGACTTGTGGCAATAAGGAGAACTAGTCCTAGAGGCACATAAACAGAAAAAGGGTGATCAGAAGGATCAGAAACAGCAGGATGAGGTCATTCAGGGCTGCTGGAGGTCGTAAATCGATCAGAGATGCTACCATGTGAGATTTCAAAGTGTTCTATTAAGGAGAGGAATTCCAGCTACTCTGGAGCGGCCAGAATGGCCCTATATATGTCTAAGATACTAAAAGAAAGGATACGTGGCCTTATATTGGCCACGTATGTGACAGAGTCACAAATGGGGATGGTGATCCTGAAGGATGACTATGGATGGGCTAACGTAGCCTAGAATCCAACAGCATTGCGAAGGGCGTAGCAGCGAACTATGGCTTGATGTAATTATAAAGGGACTCAGGTAACCTGTCATCTACGAAGTTTGGAGACCCCATAGGTAGGTACACTGTCAGATTGTGTACCACAGCATTCACCGTCGAAAGAGAGCTTCGAAAACACAGCTTCGCGGATCATCCGGCACTTGATAAGTCCCCTCCAGCTTCAATTGGGTGCTAGATCGCTGGAACAAGGCCGAGTACTCATCCTTCGTGCGCTCTTTCGCGTTGAAAAGCGCCATCGTCATCAAGTCCATCTGTCTATAAAGCAATTGCCCTGGTTAGCCAGTAATCCAGACCAGAGAAACACTCAAGTACCGGCGAAGCGGGAGTGGGAGGAGACTCGCCTCATTGCCTTGGAACCAAGATCGCGATCGACGTTCTCTGCCGAAGGGACTATGTACTCGCTGACTAGCACCCTGGCGCCCGGCTTCAGCGCTGGCAGCAAGGCGTTCAGGATGGCGACGCATTCGGTGTCGGGGTGGTTGTGGAAGATGTGTCGCATGAAGTAGACATCTGCCCCTCTCACGGGCTGCTCGTCGAAGAAGCTGTGCGCTTGATAGGACACATTGGTGACCCCTTTCCCGCGGCGCTCCTTCAGCGCGACCTCTATGACGCGAGGCAGGTCCTGCACAATGATAGTGAACTCTGGATGCAGTTGCGCCAAGTCGCGGGCAAAGTGCCCTCCTGCGAAGTCTAGTGAGCTGAACTTCACACATATAAAGGCTTTGAGGAACCCTTTCGGTCTTGAACTTACCTGAGCCTCCCACATCCACGACTATCGAATGCCGTGGAAGGTCTTTCCACGGGTACGCCCGCAAATCGGTATCCTGAAGCCGCTGTCCCCCACGGCTAATCCCCTCCATACCCCTATCGAAGCTATCGCGCAGATCCGGATTATTGTCCAGCCAGTCATAGAAAGTCTGCTCCGTATGTCGAGCGACGCTGTGCCCAGTCTGCGTCATCGACTGCGTATTCGGGAACCGCTGCAACGCAATGGACAAGCAGGTGTTGGCAGGGTTGAACACCAGGGCGATGGTCCGCAGGAAATCGCAAAAGCTGGGTGACTGTGTGAGATGCGCCGAGAGGACGGTGTGCCGAACATGTCCTGCGGGCCCTTCGCGGAAGATGAAGTTCGTCATTGCGTAGCGCAGGATCCGTGCTGCGGAGATCGGAAGGAGCGGGGTTAGCATGCCAGATACTTCAATGGCGGCCAAAGACGATCAGGGTGATGAACTCAGTCTATCTTCGTCGAGCCCCGACTTTGCTGATAGTTCGGCGTAGGTCGATGAGCCGCCCGGAGGGACCAGGTTCGGGATGTCGAAGAGTACGACAGCTCCAAGACTAGACGAATCATGGACCTTGCATTGACACCTTCGTGTCAGTTTTCTCCTGCTATATCGTGAACGGGTTGAGTATACCTGCAGGCCCATAAGTCCAAGCGTCTGCCTAGGACCCTGGACGAGGACCTCGAGTTCTCTAACAGTTTCAATAAGCTCCCGCGCTGCCTGGGGATCAATCTCAGACAGGCTCCCGGGAGTCTCATCATCGACTGTAGGAGATTCCAAGCCCCTCGAAGTAAGCTCTTTCTCCAATGCCGACGTCAGGCGCGAGACGGAGTCACCGAGCTCACCAATAGTTCTGCCTTTCATCTTGTAGGAGGACGAATACGGGACTATGCTTTTAAGATGCTAGACCGAGGGACGGATGTCACAGGAGTGGATGACAGATAACCTTTTATAGACCTCGTCCAATTATTCGGCATTCCGCTCGTGGTGTCTAATCGACAGCTTGCATGAGCTGACGTTTTGATAGCCACTCAGGACCTTCCACATGACTGTGCATGGAGACGCAGGCACTTCAGAATATGCAAAGTGAATAAGCCCCACGCAAAATAATGCGGGGAATGATTGCGACCCTCGGGGGTGTGCGCCTTTCAGAGTCGGATGAACATGTGTTCCTGGGCTACTACGCCGGAGTAAGGACATACCTTCGTGATAGGCATGACTCCAAGTCTGTGACACGCGATCTGTCCGACCGGAACCCCACGCGGATTGCACCGGCGACTTTTCTGCTTCGAATAGGGACCACGAGATCAAATCACCCTTCCTACAGGTCGTTTCGCTTGACATTACATCTAGAATCCTCAGAACGGACGAGTTTATTAGAAGGGCTAGCCCGCTCAGACCTCTCCCTTGCCGACCGATGTTAGCGAGCTCCTTGCCACGCCAAAATCGAGACCTGACACCCTTGAGTAGACCCGGCCGTTGGCGGGAGGTCCCTACCGACCATATGCTCCGAGTGGAGCTAACTCGGTCATCGCGACGCCGGGTCTCGTACAGCTCTGGGGTATCAAGACCAGTAGCCTTCTGCTTTCCCTCGCGCCTCCTCTGGAAGACTTCCCAGGCTGTTGAAGCGAAGTCGAGCACCGAGTCCCACTTGTATCCGTAGATCAATGCGAGTCCCACGACTGTCGCTGTCATTGGGATTGATATCGTCCAGAAGAACTTTTGGTCCTTGTCTATGCCCTGATATATGTTGTGTTCATCCCCAGGAAGCTGGTTGTGAACGACCTTGAGTGATTGAGTGTCAGTCAGATATGTTCTATACAGAGCTATACTCAGTACTCATAAGTTTCCGTACGTGCATAGCGGCAAGATTCCATCACCAGCAGGTCAGTTAGAAATATTGTGATAAGCGTACAAGAATAAGCAGCTTTAGTTCGATATACTGCTTCTGATGCTTATCCCAGTGTGCTTCTTTCAAATCGATAATTTTACCGTTATTTGCTGAGACGGGTGATGTACGGATACTTATGAGGGTTCGGTGTACACAGAGAAGGCAGAGAGATGGTCCACGTACATTGGGAGGAAGAACAGAGTAACGATGGTGAAAATAGCCTTCCCATGATCCTCTTCCAGGATCTCGATGCTCTGTTTGACTTGTAACTTGAGGTCTTTCGCCTGCAGTTGGAGGTAGCGGAGTTCGTCGTCTTTTGCGTTCAGCGCTTGGAGATGACGCTGGATATAATCGGCTTCTAGGATTAACTGCCTGTCTCGATCCTCGTTGGGGATTCGCAATGATCTAGGGTTGAGGATTGCCACGTACTTCCGGAACATGCTGAGTTGGTCCTTGAAGATGTTGCGTAGTGCGTCAAGCTCTAACCCGACCGCCTTGATCTCAAAGAATAGCCGCCTCTGGGGCCTTGTGCTTACAAGGTATTGCGGTCTGGCAATCTGGGACTTTTATATATCGACTGCATCCACACGCATGCCTTCGTCGTATAGCTGGTTTTGAAGATTGGTGAGTATGGCAGCAACCAAGAACTCGCGGCCAATGGGCCTCAAAAAGACGCCCCCGGTATGCGCTGTCGAGCTGAACAGAATGATATCCTTCTGAGCTCTGTCAAGACAGTCAAGGGCTCTTGTCTTGAATTTCTCGAATCGCTTGGTTATGAGCTTACTATTGGCATCGTTAGGATCCCGTAGGGTCGTTCTGAGGCGATTCCACCGTGACCCTTCGTTGCTCCGATTCGCTATCGCAATGCGTTTGGCAGCATCAGATGAAGTGATAAGATTGACTCGAATGCTTGGACCAAGCTAGGCGAAAGTTCTGGTGCTGTATGCCTCGAAACGCTGTGATCGTTGTCCGCAACGGCGACCGAGAGCTGTAACTCTCCCGCTCGACTACAGATTTGTCCTAGCAGATGTAACAATGACTCAACCACTTCTTGCACGGTGTTGGCCCATCGACCAGAAATTAGCGGATGATGTGACTTCAGCCAAACAAGACAGGGGTCGTCGTGCCAGCTGTAGCGAAGAACGCTTCCGTTTTTGTCTCTGCGTTCGAGATGGTTGTGTATGTGTGCCAGCGGTGTTTCGACATCTTCATAACGTCGTCCCGATCTGCAAGACTCACAGCTCTTAAACGAGGCTTGGGCCAGAATTGAGAGAGCATTGCCCATTTTCCTGGAGATATCCGCTGTGAAGTCTCCTATTGACCACTGGTCTGGGTGGTCTGTTGTGTTATTCATCGCCAACGAGAACTCGGGATGCTTCGAGTGATTAGCCGAGCGTCCCGTTAAGTGAAAAGAATATTGCAGTATCTGACTCTCAAGACTTGGTCCAGCGAGCCGAAATATTTCTGTACAAAGTCATTATCTTCGTGGTCGTCGAGAGGCACGAAAAGCCTGAGGAGTGTGCTTGACACATCCACTGTATCGTTCAAGATCGAGACCATCTCCCTAATGTGGTTAGATACATCTTGAACGTCGGATACCACTCCGGGGATATCTGCAACGGTGTCTCTATCCCAAACCAGGCGGAACAGCAGAGGGTTCGTGTTCGCCAGAAGCTTCCCCATTGCCGATTTCGGTCTGTGGGGTCGTCGGAACTTGTCGAAGCTCGTAGAAAAGATCTTTGGGGAGCTGAGAGACGGTCTGTGGTATGAAGACTTCCGAGACGAATATACCTGGCTTGGACTCGTCTGCGATTGTTGCTGGCTTTCAGTTTCCTTCGAGGCTTCAAAGTTGCGAATGGACGCAGCTGAAGCAGGCTGTGGTTCCGACGATGACCTTTTTCCACGCTCACTGATGGGAATGGCCCAAGACTGGTGCCAATTACGGAGGTTGTGCAATTTGCGATGAAAAGTGGCCTTGTAAAGCCCGTCTCGATCCTTCATAGACTGATCAACACTTTGCAGGAGACTCTCAACGGCTTGAAGCTTGGAATTCTCGGAGTCGAGTTGATCTCTTCTTGATGACTGCAGCCATGTGAAGAAGGGTGGCAAGTTCGGCTCGCCGTCTGTGGAGCCCGGATAACCCATTGATTTGCGCTGAGGCTCCAGAGTCTCAGGGCAAGATTTTTTCAATGGGTTCTCAGCCTGACCTGGAGTTTCAGAGTCTATTCCGACCGTATTTTTCTCGGTCCGTGCGGTTTCGCGGGACCTCCCACGGCTTGGTTGTCTGGCTGAAGGCGTTTCTAGCATAGACCTCGACACAGTCGTAGGCCGTGCTGGTGGATTCATGGGTGGAGAGAGCGTACTCTGGTCAGAGCCGTTGTCGGAATCATCGTCGTCGTCCAGCTCACTCGTAAGCGACAAATTGAATGTCACTTCGGAGAACTCCCTCGAATTCATTAGTCGCAGCCAGCTGCTGGCTGTGAGCAACTGCCCATCTTCGAATCCCAATTCAAACGTTGTTCCTCTAGGGAACACCTCTTTCGTGGCTTTTAGCACTCTCCGTAAGAACTCCTGCATATTGAGGGGAAAATCAGCATTCCTGCTCATCAGAATTCACGCAAACAAAAACAACTATTTTTCTTGGCGCCCCGCTGTTAGGACGCAACCTCGATATCTGCACTAAAGCAGGCATTTCTCTCGGTAACTGACTATCTTTGCTAAGACACAAGAGAATTTTTTTCACAAGCCGGATGGCACCCTTCCACGACGGGCCCCCAAACACGCCCATGGCCGTCCCAAAGACGACCACTGGCGGCATGCTCAAATCCCCGGCCCCTAGAAAGACATACAGCCCGGCAACTCCGAGCAGGCTCCGCCAGGCGCTGCTTGACGACATCAGCAGCAGCCCGTCACAGGTCTCTGAGGCTGACTTTACCGTTATTTCCCCTCTGAAAGGAAAATCCTGAAATATCAATGACAACAGCACCACTAGAATGAAACGACCTCAATTAAACAAAATCTCTACAGGCCAAGCCATTGCACGCAATACAGGGAATAAAGCCTCCTCCTCAGAGTGCCAGGACCAAGTTGCCAAAATACTGGCTAAAGACAAGCACCTCTATGAAGCCAGGATAACAATGTTTCAGGAGTGTGCTGTAACAATTGATAAGACACTTGAGAAAGCTGGAACCGAACTATACTCTTATGTCAAGGAGTTCAGCGCTTTTTTCTCTAAATGCCTAAACAAGTGGCTGGAAACCCGAGATTGTTAGATTTCAAAGTGTTCTATTAAGGAGAGGAATTCCAGCTACTCTGGAGCGGCCAGAATGGCCCTATATATATCCAAGATACTAAAGGAAAGGATACGTGGCCTTATATTGGCCACGTATGTGACAGAGTCACAAATGGGGATGGTGATCCTGAAGGATGACTATGGATGGGCTAACGTAGCCCAGAATCCAACACGCCCTCTCAGACTGAGGGAATTAACATAACCAGAATATCACCCCTCTACATGAACCAGTCCTAGCAACTCCAGAAACTTGAAGAACCTTGCCTTTGTCAAAGCTTTGGTGAGACCGTCTGCAGGTATTTCATTGGTTCCAAGGAAAGAGAGCCGTATATGGCCTTCCAAGATCTCCTGACGAATGTAGTGTTCCCTGACTCGAATGTGCTTAGTTCGACGATGGAATTCAGCGTTCTGAGCCAAATTAATAGCTCCAGCACTGTCTGAATGGATATTGATAGCATTCAGAGTGAAACCAAGTTCCAGCATCAGTTCTCGTAGCCAGGCAGCCTCTTTGACGGCTTCAGAGAGTGCGTAGTACTCCGATTCCACAGTAGACTGAGCCATAACAGTCTGCAGCTTGGATGCCCAAGAGACAGCGCCCCCAGCAAACGTGAACAGGTAGCCTGAGGTGGATTTGGCGCTGGTCTTGATGCTTCCAGCATAGCTGGCATCACAGTAACCAACCAGCAGATCCGGAATCATCTCAAGGACCTCCTGGGGGGTCTTCCTGACATATTCGGGACCTCCAAATTTGATCCCAAGATCTTGAGAGTGCCACAAGTAGCGAAGTAGGCCCAGAGCGGCCTTATATTGGGCTGAGCCAGGGTTGTGAAGGTATCGCGAGAGAACACCCATAGAGTATGCAATATCTGGTCTCGTATACGACGCAGGGAAGTTCTCAGAACCGATCAGGGACTGATATGTCTGAATAGGACGTGTATCGACCTCAAGGTCGTTGTCCAGGGACTCCATCTGTTCCACTGCTTGAGGAGATATCGGCACGTTCATCTTGCCAGTGTTCTGCTGGTCGAACGCCTCCACAGTCCTTCTCACATACGTCTGTTGAAAGAGATATAACGTCCTCTCAGCTCGGTTTCTGACAATGTGGACTCCTAGGAAGTGTTCAGCAGCTCCCATGTCCTTTATCTCAAATGTAGAACCTAGTTCCTTCTTGAAGGCAGCGATCCCGTCACGATTAGCCCCCAAAATGAGGAAATCGTCGACATAGCTGATCACTATAATGCCACGGCTGATGTTGACATAGACTGCGTTATCAGAGACCAGAGGGTCGAATCCGAGGTCCTTCCGAGCGCTGCGAATGCGCTTCTACCACTGCCTGGGGCTCTGCTTGCGCCCATATAGCGATTTCGCAAGCTTCATAATCATGCCAGGTCTCCAGTTGATGGTATTCTCATCTGGATACATCTCAAAGAAGTCAGAGAGACCATCAGGCGTCTCCATGAAGATCTCTTCATCCAGTTCTCCTATCAGGAAGGCAGATACAACATCCATCTGGTCAATTTCCGAGTCCAGAACGGCAGCAATGGCTAGAAGGAGCCTCCAGGTGGTAGTACGAGCGCCTGAGGCCTGGGTTTCGAAATAGTCGAGGCCATGGCGTTGCATGAAGCCTCGTACAACCACCCTAGCCTTGTACCGAGAGGTGTTGCCGTCAGAGTCCCTCTTCCGCTTATAGACATTGCGGCTAGAGAGAGTTTTACGCCCAGCAGGCAGATCAGACCTCCACAAAGGAATGAAGGTATTATTGCGCAGCAAAGCCCGTATCTCTGTGTGAGTGCCATCCAGCCATTGAGGTGCCTCGGCAGACTCTATGGCTTCCTTGTAGCTAAAAGGCTCGTCATTACGGGGAAGTGCCTGATCAGGGTCAGAAGACGGCCAATTGGCATAAGATGCCTCGATCGTAACATGTGGAGATATGCCAGGGGTGGAAGACTCGGCCACGTAGTGGTTGTGAGTCCTCCGAGTGCGCCCTCCGGAGAGTACATTCTCTGGGTTGAGCCCTGATTGGATTCTTGACCTCGGAGCAGCCGTTGGGGCTACTTCTTGACGAGGTGGTTCAGATGATAAAAGAATGGAGTCAGCTAGAGCAGTACTAGGCTCAGGGTTGCTATATCCAGAGTCAGAATGATGACCATCATCATTATCAGAAGCGTCAGGGGACCCAAGAGGGGTCCCTAACGTGACAACTGGTTGGGGTGAATCATCTCTACCATCCCTTCCGTTATCTGACTCGATATATATATGCTGAGGATCGTGAGCGCCCTCTGGTGAAGACGGCGCTGGCAGATCTTCAGCATCGGGTCTGGTTGTCTCATAGTCATCGAGTGTACCACGGAAGTTTGGAAAGATGTGGATCAAATCCCTTGAAAGTACATACCTATCCAAAATCTCAAGATGGGCAGTAACTACAACCTTTCTCAGGTGTGTAAGATACACCTGGTACTGGTTGGAACCAAGGGAACGAAGAATACGACCTCTCCTTGCGTGTGGAGTGGTCTTGTCTCCCTTAGGGCGGCGCTGCTGCGGCAAATGGACCACAGCGGCCTGCCCGATTGACAGTAAATTCGTCAAATCAGGCTTGTTATCCTTTCTAGGGTTTAGATCGTCAAAGAAAACTTCAAAGGGAGTCTTCTTAACGCCCTGAAGGAAAGATGTATAGCTCACATTGAGCCTATCACATACGGCAGGTCTAACAACCGGCCAAAGGGCTTCAGGTAGCCCGGAATCCTTCATAATACTGCGAATGAGAGCGTGTATAACGCCAAAGGATCTCTCAGCCACTCCGTTCTGCTCGGGAGTGTATGGAGCGCTGACTTCGAACAGGATACCACGTTCAGCTCCCCATTGCTTGAATCTCGCGTATTCAGAACCACCATCCATTCGAAATCGCTTCGGATAACGCCCGTACTGGGTGTGAGCGCATTCACAGTAACGAATGGCTTGGTCGGAAGCTTCCCCTTTCTTCTCGTGAGGGCAGTACTCCCTCAAACGAGACTTGCCATCCACAAATACGGTGGCATAGAGAGAACCATCATAGCCTTGGACAGAGTGCTTGGCTGTATCTATATGGACCAGGTCTAAAGCATGATCTGGATGTTCCTGCTCAACTCGAGAGACTAGGCGACGTAGATTGGACTCCAGACATTCCAGATAGGTGAATTCTTTTGCCAGCTCTCATACATTCGGCGGCAATTCAATCCCTTTGGTGATACTGGCTGTCTTGATCAGGTCACCAATAGATCGGTGGCCAAGTCTTGTATGCCAGCGGTGGAGTAGTCTCAGCGCCACAGATTTGGCTTGAGAGGTCAGTTCCTGGGAAGAATCCTCGGATACCATATTGGTGAACACGTCCGGGGCTTGATTGATCCCGTATACGTCCTTCTGGACACTAGGGATCTCTGTCTGAACGTACATTCCCTGGTGGAATGATGCCACCCATGTACCATGGGGGTCAAACAGATCGCGGATCATCAAATACCATCCTTGGCGATACATCTGGTCTCCCGAGAGAATGTTGATTGGAAAGGAAGGCACAAATAGTACTCCAGAGATTGTCTGAGTGACGGTATCACCGTTGGAGGTAATGAATGGTATCTCCACGTCGCCAACACCTTGAGGAGTAACAGGGCCTCCTCCAGTGTTAAAGGGGACCAGGTCAGGGTCCATTCGAAGGCGAGTAAACCACTTCTTGCTATTACAAATAGGAACGGTAGAGCCTGTGTCAAACAGCCATGAGTCTGTGCTTATCGTGGCATGAACGATGTCGATCAGATTGGTACTCGCTCCCTGGTTGGCGCTATGTGGTCCTTGAGTGAGGACAGATTGACTGGAGATGGCTTTATCGGCATAATTGCACCATTGAGCGGCGTCAGAAGCGCCAGTGCGTCCATTCTGGTGAGTGGGAGCGCTGCTTGAAGGCCTTCCATCTTTCCTAGCCTTCTCAGAGGCCTGGATGATCTGGCTGAGGATGCGTTTGTTGCATCCAAGGTGGCCCTTCTTCTTGTCAAGCTCTCCGCACTCATAGCACCAGATAGGATCCGTGGTCTTGCTGTTGGAAGAGCCCTGATTGACTCCAGGGGTTCTGGGGCCATCAAGAGATGGGCGATTACTGCCTTTCCCCTTGTTCTTCCACTTGCTCTTGCCTTTACTAGGCGTAGCAGGCTTGCCAAAGTTGGTGGCAAAGGTCTCATCTTGAGCCTTGCGAATCTGTATCTCCTCCTGGAGCCGGTACAAGAGATTCTCGGTCGTAGGGAAGATTCCACGGTTATAA